CAGATGTTGAAGGATAATAGTGGAAATTCCTTCCCCAGGTGCCCCATTCTTCATGCTCTTTCTCAAAGACATTTGGAGGATCTTGAGAGGAATGATTTTTGTGAAGGGGTGAATCAACTGTTGCTTTAGTTTTAGTGCAGAAATTAGAGGCAACTGGATAATTCCATCGTAAATGAAATTGTAAAGTTTAAAGTTGCTCAGTATAAACGTTGAATTCCAGTTATGTGTACAAATTTCCTCAAGGAAACTATCCTACAGGAAATTTTCAGGAACAGGGAGTTCCAAAAAAAAAAAATTAAGGTTTACATATATTTTTTTTAATCATTGTATCATTTCTGGTTATTAAATAAATTATTTATTATTGAATTTAAAATTTTGTGCTTTTTTCTGCTATTTTTGTTCTACAGTGGATATTTCAAATCTTCCCTGATGTGTCAGTCACTGCTCAGTAAGTGTGCAGGTACCTAGAGATACACTAAGGAAGCTAGAATTAGTCTCCTAAGTATTCTCCTATGTGCAGTAGTATCTGGTTTTAACTGCAACGTAGATCTTAGTCAGGAAGCTGGAGAAAGAAGAGGAGAGACATGGAAACTTGTAATTTTAGGACAAAGTTAAAACAATATGGAGGGAAGAGGAATCTCTAGAGATCTGCTAGGAAATGAAAGTTAAATTCATGTGGTTCCTTCTGCTCTGGAGGTGTTGATTTATATCACTACCAGTGAGGTTGGCAAGTGCAAACTTTTAAAATAGCAGAAGATTTCCTGAGAGGTCACTGTATTCTCTTTGTTGTGAGATGGAAGGCAAGAAGAGTTAAAATAAAGCCAGAGGGATAGAAAAGGACTTTTCCATGCTGGAAAGGTAGGAGAGGTACGTGGGAGCCAGGTAACCACTGGCCCCTGAGGTACCTGTTCCTAGGGACCCTCCAGCACACTGCTCTGCCAGAAGTAGATATTTTTAAAATGTCTTTGAGAAGGAGGTCCCAGTCCTGGTTTTCTTGGGCAGGCACCACACAGGACCTCAAGCACTGCAGGACATTAGATAACTCCTTGGCCAAGACCCTCGTGCAGGGGGAGGGGAAGGAAGAGGCTGGGAACAGGGTCTGGGGTCACTCATTGTTGCTGCGAGACGGAGGACACCCCAGCCCTGTTTGTCTCACAGGTTGTCCAGCACTGTCCTTTTCTTATGCAAAGAGATTTCTCCAGTAACTCACATTAAGTTTCAAATTCAGTGTCTGCAGGAAGAGGTCTCAGAGTCAGGAAATACGTGTGTGTGCCCAGAAAGAGCAATCGAACCCTTGGCTGCTCGCAGCTCCAGCTGGTGTCCTAAAGCCCTCTTTGAACGTTTAGTCTGCTAGTGTTTCACAGGCAAGCAGAAAATCCTTTGGGGTTCAGTCTTTTGTGCCTGGGGACGTGCTTCCATGATTCATTCTGTGTCTGAGCTGCAGATAAACACATTCAGGCTTCTGTGTGGAAAATATCTGGTTCTCTCCTGGCATTTCTTCAAAAGCTGTATTGAAACTCTGTTCCCAGAGGCTGTTTCATATTCCCTGTGCCATCAGAACACCACGGCATCCTTCGCTCCCGCCGCAAAGACTTGGGATGCCTGGAATCAATGGGATATAATCAGAGAGTGTGTGGGGCTTTTATCATCTTCTGGGTCCTGTCGTTGGGCTTCTCTCAGCTAAACGGAGACTGAGGGAAGAGGGGAGGAGTAGTTTTATCACATGCAATACTCACATGTCCATGAAATTGCAAGACAACCTCATTTCAAATTTCTTCATACTGGTGCATTCCCCAGCTCCTGATGTTTAGGTGCTTTTATAAAGGTAATTTCCTCTCCAGCCCTTTCTGTTTGTACCAGTAGTCACTGGTCCTGAGTAAACACAATCAGAATTCAGGTGTTGAGGAGGGATCCCAGTAATCAGTGTTGAGCTGTGGATAGAGGGGTTTGTGTTGAGTATCTACAGACCACCCAGTTTCCTGAGAGCACACAGTAAACCTCCCTCAAATCCTGTCTGGGCTCGTTTTGGCATAGGGAATACTTGTGTATAGTAGTGGTTTCCTTTGTGTTTTGATGGTGGTGATTATTATTTTTCCTGAATTAGGGCTACTGAGATAAATATTTAGTTTTTAATGTTCTATTTTGTACATAATCAGGCATATCTGAAGCAGCACCTTAAGCTTCAATTTACTCTCTCATTACTTTTTTTAACAGAAAAAAGCAGACGTTTTCAATACTTGGCAAAGCCACAGGGCTGAGAAGAGAGCTGGCTGGGAAATGGGAAAAATACTCGAATCTTTTTTGAAAAAGTGCCAGTGTCTATAATGCATTTTCAGTGAATGACTCAATTGGTTCTGTTGAGGGCAAAAATATAATGTTAATTCACCCTAATATAGTTTATTCAACAGACAGCTTGAACCTCCTTATATTTTACTTTCTTACTAATTATTGATTAGGTTGTTTAATTATTGATTTCCATTAGTGGACATCAGTAAAAATGAAGAATAGCTCCGTTAAATTTAATGGAGATTTGTTTAAAAGTAAGAAGGGTCAGCCTCAATATGATGAGGAAGGAGTTAGGTGCAAGCCAGTCAGAAGGAGGCAGAATTTGATTTTGTATCTGAAATGGGTCGTTCCTTCATTTGTGTGGGCTTGAGCACATTTGCATTTGTCCTTCTCCGTGTGTTCAGGCTCAACCTCTAGATTTGCCTTTAATAAAATGTAATAAACCATGGTGCAAATAGATTCTGCTTTTTCTGGAGAGAAAAGGATAATAACATGATATTTATTGATTTTACAGTCATAAAGTGGTATTTATTGACTTTGCAGCTCTTTTAAGACTAAAAAAGAATAAATTCTGCAGTTAAGTTTAGTTGCTAAGGTTCGATACCACACAGCCTCACTGAGAACAGGGAGTGTCTTCTGTTGAAAGAATCCAAATACTAACCCACTGTCCATGTAACAGTCAAAATTCAACATCTTTATGTCCCTTTGGAAAACAAAAAAAATCATTGTTTTGAGTTTTTGCTTACAAAAACCTTTCTCAGACTTTGGACTGCTTCTCTTTCCTCTCTGCCTCTCGTTTAATGTAGATGTGCTGTATGTAAAAGGGATGTGCAGGATGGATATGCAGGGGGGTGTGTGTTGAGTAGGGCTGCAGGGAAGGCTGGGATCTCAGATGTGTATGCATAGCGGGGTGTAATGGGATCTTGGATCAATATATATAATATATATGTATGAGCTGAGTAACTGCAAGGAAGTGTACATCCTATCTTAGCAAAACAGCCTGTAAAATTGGATGGAAGTGGGGAAGGATGTCCATGTGGGATGTGCACTGAGGGTCCCCCTGAGACCTGACTCCGGCAGAGCACAGTGTCTCCTTCACCTCTTCACAGAGACTCCTGCTCATTTTTCCCCCTCTCAGATCTTCTCTGCTCCTTCCCTGTCTCTGTCAGCAAGAGCTGCTGACTGGAGAAGGTCATGGCATCCTCACCACTGGAGGATTTTAAGGGCACGTTGGATTAAGACCTCTCAGATGATAATTGAGCCTGACTTGGAGCAGCAGAAAGGGACTAGCTGACCTGTCAGAGGCCCTTCCAAGCCTGTTTTGTCATCCCAGAAGTATGGAGGAGGACAAAACCTGAGGAAGAAAAATGTGCTGTAGAAAGTAGCTGACAGGTCAGGGGGAGTGGAGAGCAGGAGGTGAGCAGAGGTGCTGGCAGGAGCCCCTCGGGTGACAGGCAGGGGTCGCAGCCAGAGCAGTGAGGAGCACCAGCCAACAACTGCGGTAACAAGTTCCATGATCTCAGTGAGAAAGGAAACAAGGACGTGGGTCATTAGTCAAAGCATCCCGTCAGGTCAAGGATAGGAGAGTCTTGTTTTTTCTTTATTGAAGGAAAAAAAAAAAGAGAATAAAAAGGCAAAACCAGTGCATTTCATAACATAGGAGAAAGGCAACAAGTGCGAGGATGAGAATCCAGCAAGGGACTGCAAAAATAGAGCAGGATCATGGAGGAGGTTTGAACATGGGTCAGAGGCTAAAAGTAAGTAGTAAAAATTCACTATTTGACATAGAGAAAAGGAAATTATTTAAAGAGAAAAAAGGAAAACCAGAGAGAGGGTAGAAGAAATAGTTGATGTATCAGGCAGAGTCAAAAAGGGGCTTCCAGAGTTTGCTGGCTGGAGACATAAGTGATGGGAAGCAAGTGTTGGATCACTAAGGGTTATGGATAGTTCAGCAGACTTCAGAGTCAAAATGTTGGACGGCAAAACCTGAGTGAGGAAGATGAAAGCACAGGCAGAGGGAGGAGAAGGCTGAGAATAGATCAGTCATCCTTGCTGAAAGACTGGGAGCCATGGAAAGGGTGAGGGACAGGGTAAGATGATAAGGGCTGCTGTTGAAATAAACCATGTGATGTGTCTTAGTGTTAAAATGGGCGTTTCTATCATCATCATCATTTCAGTTAATGCAAACCCAAAGTGCTTCTTGTTCTCGCCATGACCTGGGCACTTCCCCAGTCCTCCTTTCCACAGCATCAGATCACCTTACTATCTCTGAGGTGATGGTCTGTACAGCAATGTGGGTGGTAAGGAAATGCTGTTCTGTTGGTAGTGAACTGAGGCATAAAGCAGGGGAGTATTTTACAGTCCCACTACAAATCAAAGGGGGATTTGAAGCGAGGGCTGTTCAGTCCTCAGCTAGTAGCTGAAACTCTGGCTCATCCTCCCTCTGAACTCCTTCTTTGTGTGGGAGCCACCTTGAAATCAAACTTTCCACAGAGAAATAAAGTTTCTTGCCATATTTTAATGGTTTGTTTAGTGATGCTAAAAAAAAAAAAAAATTAAAAAATTGTGTGTTACTTTTGACATTTTTACTACTGGGGAAAAAATGAAACCATAACTCTGTATCTTCTGGTTGATGCAGAGGGACATTGCAGAAGAGGCTTAACGGGTGTTGGCGAGGGTGGCCTTGGTTTGATGTGCTCTGGTCTGTTTTCCAGATAAACCGTGAAAGCTGGTGCTCGCTGGAGCCATGTCCCGATCCCTCCCTGCTGGAGCGCAAGCGGACACGGGAGTCTCCAGGTGAGCAGCCATTCTCCTCACCTTCTCTATCCTTCTCGTTCTTCTTATTTTTGGCATCCTTGCCTTGACGGGGAAAACACATAAACTGAAGGCACCGTGTGATGAGTGTGCCGTGAGTCATTGTTAGCACATGGCTGTAGCACTTGACTTGCAGGGAGCTGTGTGGTGTGTCACCTCCTCAGATAATTGTGCATTCAAAGTACTGCAGTATTTTGATTTTTTTTTGAATAAACGTCAAAAGTGCGGTGGGACACACATGGTTTTTACAGACATGGTTTTTAGCTAAAAGGACCTACTTTTAACCCTAATACAGTAAAATTTAGAAAAAAAGTCAGAAATTCAAACTTCTGAATACATATTTAGACCCAGATCATGGGTTGATTTTTTTTTTTCCTCCTCTCTGAAAGTTGCCATGATTCCAGGCTTCAGGAAGCAGGAAGGCTGTTCAGAGCCATCGTTCCCACACCCTGCCCACCAGCCGTGCCGAGCTCCCAGCCCTATGTGCTGGCTGGGGCTTTCTGGCTCCTCCACTGGGACAGAAAATCTTGTCTGGGCAAGCTTCTAACAGGGGTTGGTGTCCAATATTAAAAAAAAAAAAAAGCATTTCCTTCATTGGATTATGCATGTTGAAAACAAACAGAGTAATTTATCAGGGCCCTGAACAGGGGCTTTACTTGAACTGTTCGTAGAGAGGAAGCTTCTTGCTTTGCTGTCCTTAGGAGCAGTGGTCTAACCCAATTCTCCTTCAGTTTATCTGAGACACTTGAAAAGAAAAGACTGAGTTTCAATGTGAAATTCAAACCGAATCTTTTGAGAGTGTAGGCTAAGAAGGCCTAATGTCAGTTACTAACTCAAGAGTTTTATTCTAAGTAGCAGTTCTAGCTCCCATCAAAGTTAAATAAGTGCTTTTTTATTTAAAAAAATGAAATATTGCTCTGTTTAGATGAACAGTGAATAGCTGTTTCAAGAATGTTTTTACAGGAGACCCTGTGGTATTGCCCTGCTGCTGCTTTATTAATTGTATCCTCAAATCCCTTGCCTTTTGGCACTAGGTTTTTAATGCTTCAGGCAAGAGTTATTGCACTCCATTAATCTGCAAAACTACATGCACTCATTTGAATTGCCAAATCTATAATCATGTGTTCTTATGGATCAGTATCAGTTGCACACTTATCAGTTATCTAATGCAATATCACGCTGTAGGAATATTATAATAGTTATGTAATTAGACATCTGTATATACAAATTTATATTAATAATTGTTGTAATAAGTGTCTGTAGCATAAGCAAAAAGGGGCAGATTTTTATGTAGATTAATGTGCAGGTTCTGGCCCTTCTAGAAATAATGTTGTTACTGCACATGCATCCTCTGGCTGCTCTGTGGTGCTGGGCAGTGTGGAGAGGGCAAGAAGAACGTGGTAATACCTAACAGCAAGAAAACCATTAGCTGTTGTAATGTGATTAATTAAATATACACTACTTGATAAGGAATTAGGCCTTCTTCATGTGCTGAATAATCCTGCTGAAATAGCTTGTAAGATCTTAGAAGGTAACTCCAGAAAATGGAGCCTCTCATTTTCTACTTTTGAAATTAAGTGCACAGAGGAGTGTAGCAGAAATATCGTTATCAGCATGGAATTGGAGGGCTCAGCCCTGTCTTGGAGGACACAAGGGCTTGGAGAATATACAGAAGGGAGTTGTATGGAAATTTTTCTTCTTTCTTTTTTCTATTTTTTTTTCGCCTTTATATTATGTGCAGAAACGCGTTCCCATCATCACTGTGTTTTCACCTGAGAGGAGCAGAGCAGCACAGCTGGGCTGTAACTCCAGCATGTGCAGTGCATGGGGGGGGAGTGTGTGTGTCTGTGTGTGTGCCAGGAGTCAGTGTCACAGTCCCTGTGTCACACCAGCGCTGTCACCAGGCTGCCAGGGCAGGTGTGGGAGGTGAAGCTCGGCAGTGTGCAGTGTCTGTGCAGCTCAAAACAACCCCAGCTAACTGTGGGAAAGGGAGAGAGAAGATAACACACACCCCCAAATGAAAATAAAGGAGAGTGGAGGGAAGAGAGGGTTTGGGAATGAGTTTCTCAGCACACATGAGCTGATGTGTGCGGGTGTCCCCATCTCCCAGCTCCTCATTGTCCTTCCCCAACATTTCATGTCCTCTGTCCCTGTGAGGCTCCAGCAGAGGAGACTTCACTGCCTCTCATGATTTATCATCAGGGTGAGGTATCCATCCCTCAGCACATCTGGACTGTCCCTGCTGATTTTCCACTGGAACGTGGCTCGAGCCCCTTTGTTTTTCAGTCTGGGCTGTGGACATGCTGTGCTGGCTGCCAGCTGGATGGCCGGCACCCTGGCCCATTCCCTTACGCCAGCTCCATCTTGTCTTTGCTTTTCCCTTCAGTTTTTTTCCCCCACTCTCTTCTTCTCTTTCCCCTCCCTTCTCCCCCTGGATGATGGAAAAGCAGTTCAGATTTTCCAGGTTTACCAAAAGGGGAACAGGAGCAGCTGCAGCATCCAGTAAGTGCTTTTCCAATTCTCTGTGGTGTGGAAACTCCTCTACGGCGTAATGGGGTTTCCAACTGGCTCTGCTTCCCCCTACCCTAAATGGGGGCAGACCCACCACTGTCAAAGTAATATTATTTTCTCCAGCAGAGGAGTCACTCCCATCAGCTGGGCTGTGGCTGGAGTGTTTGATAGCTGCTGTCAGGCACAGGTTAAGGATGGGGAAGGGAAATCGGTGACTTCAAGCTTCCCAAACTTCTTGTCCTTGCATTGATGTTTAAGCTTGACATCACTAAGGACAGAGTTAGTCAGGTGTAATTGAAGAGTGAACCAATATTTTATTGCCCTGGCTCCTCTTCAGACAGGAGAGCACATTTTAGATATGTTTACTTAGAGCAGGTTGCAAAGTGACACCTTTTTTTTTTTTAATTAAAAAATACTAATAATTAGAAAGTATTTTGAACTGGGAGCAAAGAATGTTCAGGTTTTACCAAAATTGTCATTAGTACTTTTGCCTGAAGACCGAAGAGATGAAAATATATACAGGCAATTTTTTGTGCAAATATTTGTCTGTTAAGGGTTTTGGAAAGGAAGGGTTTTCACAGGGACTGCAGTCTAGTTCTGTGCTGCTGATCAGCTTGGAAGCATTTGAGAAAGAAGAGGTGCAACATGCTTGCATTTCAATATCAGGAGTTATGAAAGCTGAGAGTTTTTAGAAAATCACTTAATTTTTGAATCTTAAGAAAGTGAAGCTTGTCATGGAAGTCACACTAGTGCTTTTTCAGTGAGAAGTGTAGAAGAAGGAATGAAATAATCAACCAGATGTGCATTAGAAGACCTTGGCATGTAGAGGGAATTGATTCTTTAATTGAGAAATAAAGTAAATATGGTCAGATTATATTTTTACATATATTGAATATGAACCTAATTTTGCAGTTGTTGCAATTAATGGGAAACATTCCGTTATCCCCTGTGTAGGATACCTGATATGTAGCATGCTTATCAGCACCCTAACCTACAAGTGTTTATGGCTGTTTCATGCAGAATTTCAGTTTGCACCATGTACTTCAATGATGCATTAAAAAGGAGTTTTAAACTCCTGAATACATTGAGAACTTGCACTCATGGTTTTGGGAGATGAGCACAATTTATAAAGCTATATGTACCGTTGGTTTTAAATCCTGGAATTTACTGAGAGTATGCAAGATGGATGTGTTGGTGCTACAGAAAGCACCAGGTCATAACTCTTTCTGCTTTGCTCCCACAGAATGTGAGAACTTCCTGGATGATGGGCTGAGTGGTGTCTGTGCCTCATCACAGGGCGGCCTTAAAAGAGAGTCCGGGAGTGAGTCTGACCTCTTCCCCTTGCCTGGTGATGGGATGGAAGATCTTGTCTTTGGAAAGGTAGGAAAGCCTGGTTGGGATATGGTTAAAAAACCTCCGAGGCCTGATCTGATAAACCCATACTGCAAATGCAGATCATCTTGGTTTCACTGGTGAATTAGAAACCTGGAAACGATTATCCTGGAAAGAAATATATGGGAAGGATCCGGTCTCCTCCTCAGATGCAGCAACATGAGGGATGTATTTACTTGCAGCACAATTCCAAATACTGCAGCCCCCAGTGTTAAAAAAAATAAAAGTAATTTTGTCTGTCCAAAAGTAAATCAGGCACCAGAGGAACAGTTGAAAAGGTGGATTTTCTTGCAAGGTCATTAGGGATTGCACAGACTGTATGAAATCCATCTTTAACCCATGTAACAAAGAGCTTTTCTCCAGCAAACGATGACCTCTGTGCTGACACCTCTAGATTTATGTACTGTAATTCTCAGAGGAACCGGTGTTTTTCTGTAAATTCAGTGTGATAGGAAGGAAACACTCACTCTAAATACTTCAGGCCAATTCCAGGGAATAGTTTTGTTGCCTAGGCGACATACCTCTAATGCCTGTTTGCGTGCAAGTAGAATGGAAATGTTTTCAGGTTTGCTTAAAATCAACAGTAGAAGTCATTATTAACCTTAGTCATCCCTGTGCCCTTTGTGTTGCTCGTGGCTTAGAAGGAGAAGGAGGAGTGGGAGAGACCAGAGAGACAGAGTCAGACTCCCGAGCAGAGGTCTTTGGCATCAGCCTTTTGCGTCTGCATCAGAGCAGCCTGAATTTATTCAGAGGGTGATTAGGTTTTTGCTCTTTAAGAATTGTCTTGCTGGTTATTTATACTTCTCTTGCCGTAAGTAGATGATGAAAAAGCACCCAGAAAGAATATAGTGATGCAGAATCAAAGGGGATGTGAACCTTCTTCAGAGCAGCCATCACGCTGGTCTCCATCACACACTTTGATGTCTCCATCACACAGTCCATCCCACACTGCAGCTCACCTGTTTGAGCAGGTGCATCTCCTGCTCTGAAAAACCAAACTTTTGGAGTAGCTTTCACACGTGCTTTCAGAGAAATATATTTCAAAAACAAAATTCTGTTTGCTGAAATCAAATCAGATGATGGTGAATATTTTCCAGCAGGACGGGAAACACCACAGCCCAGGCTAAATGATCTCATGTGCTATAAATGAACAGTAAAGTCATCCTTAATGCATGTGGTAGGGCACAGAGCTCACCAGCCTCACCCTTTCCCATCTTACTCTCAAAGGGATCCAGGACCATGGATTGTGGGAATACAGGGCTGTTTGTCTTCAGTTTTCTTGTGCAGAGTGGCCCAAATTCCAACAGCCAACTGCCATTTGAGCTTGATTTAATGCTTGTATGGGGATGTGCAGGAGAATAGTGCTGTGGGAACACACCAAATTTTGTACTATACAGAATTTTATTGTTTTTCCCCTTGTATATGTGGAAAGTTACCTTCTCCAAATGCAAGAAAGAATATTAAAGCATAAAAAGAATAGGTCATGCAATGTAGCAGGGGTGCTGCAGGGAAAGGAGGAGGTTGTGGGGAAAGCAGATTGTCAGTTGCCAGTGGAGAGAGTGCAGAGGGTGGAAGTTTTTTAATTTGTAGAAAGAGAATTTCTTAATTTGGCAGCCTTTGCATTGCTCTCAGACTTTGTCTGCAAATGGCTTCAAAAGGTTCCTGAGTTGAGTTTAGGAAGTTATTCAAAGCTAATCTCAGTCACTTTATTTGTCTCCGTTTGGCTGACTGATTTGATTCCTTGTCTCCTTTCTCAGGATTTATCTGAGTACCGTTTCTACATTTGAAGTTATTTCTAGGAGGACCAGAGACACTAGTTTAGTGTTGTGAGCTTGTTCCTTAATTAAATCTCCTTTGGTTTTAGACTACTGAGCCCAGCTGGTAGAAATGCAAATTATACATATTTTTAATAACACTAAAATAAGTGATGACTGTAATCTTTCTTCTGGAAAATACTGTAAGATGCATGTTTTTGGTGTAGTTGATTAGTTATAAACCTATTAAATAGTACAATTTCCATATCAAATTGGGAAGAGAGAGAATATGTTTATGAACAAAAAGAGGATCTCAAACCTTTCGGTGTCATGATGATTACTGTTATTACTAGTCCAGTTCTTGTTTCTCCTTTCTGTGGAGCAAGAGTTGGGTTTTTTATTGTAGAAATAACTCCTTTGTTAATTGCTTAATACATGAAAAAACTGTAGGAAGAACAAGCCGTTGTCTGTCCAGGGTCTTTGGGCTGCTTCCATGGACATCGCTTGAAATTTGTAGATTGTAAGCCCTGGTTCTGTCCCTGAACCATAAAGAATTGGGGTCTGTGGGGTCACAAAATCTGCAGGTACCTTACCCTGTCCCTGGTGTCTGGTGTGTGCTTTGTACCATCTCCTTGCCCTCTCCTGTGCTTGTCTCTTTTCTTTTCCTCCCTGAAGGACGTCGTGCTGAGCTGTGTAACATGAGCTGCCGAGTTCAGGGAGCTTTAGCACTAAAACCTGCCTTGGTTTTTCAGACTTTAGAGGCTGTCCCTGAGACCCAGAAATTGCTTCCAAGTCTATGGCTTAAGCAAAGTGTTTTGTTTTTCCTGCGTCAGTGCTCCATCGCCGTGTCCTCGTCATCCTGCTTTTCCTTCCCTGTTTCAGACAGCCATCTGGGCAGGCTTTGCAGCACCCTCCTTCTTGAATGAGTAATGCTGCATAAGGTCATCTCTCACAATCATCTGGCAACATCCTGGGGTGGAGCCCATACGCTTTGCTCATCTTAACTTTTAACCTGCCACCGAAAATCCTGCGTTACTGGGAAGGTTTTTAATGTGCCTCTCGGGAAAGGATTCAGGGGAAGGGAGTCGGGAGCCCACAGATCATTTCCAAAGGAAGGGGCTGCAGCTCAGTTTCTTGAGTTTTGTTTAATTTCTGCATTTGTTTTGGTTTACGGAAGGAAATACACAAACACACAAATATTTTTCATTTATTTTTCAGAATTATTGTTCCTTTCATAAAAACAAACAAACAAAAAACCCCAACAGCCTTGCAGAAAATACAAACCTGAAGGATTAAAAGGTTGAACAAAAAGAGGGAGACTCTTCCACTCCAAACCATAAAAGTTATGATAAATAATTAATAGGAGACCACTATTGAGATTAATTTTAGGAAACCTAGAGCCATAGGCAAATCCAAATAAAAATTGATTCTGCTGGATTATATGTCAAGCCAACCAAAGATGTTGGCTTGATATCTTTAGTGTAAAGGTATTCCAAGGAAACTTCAGGATGCCAGGGTTTAATTTTTTTCATCTTCTTTTTAAAAGTACTGTAACACCTCTAATGTCTTTGTCACATGGAAGATCAGGTGACAGAGAAAGTTTGTGTCTCAGCACTTTGCATGTTGTCATCAGTGAAATGATTGAAGGAGCATTTTAATTCCCCTTATCAAGACCTCCTACAGTGGAGGGATTTAGCTGAAGAAGTTGTCTTATACCCTGACCATCCCAGTGATTTCCCTTATCCCTATTCTTGAAGAAGCACATGTTTTCTTTCTCAGAATACTCCTTTATATGCTTTATCTGATTTTTATTTACTAGCTTCTCACTGTTTCTGAGAGCAAAGAAAATGCCCATTAGCAAATATCTGTAAAAGCTGTTTTCATCCATAAGGTTTATGGTCACAGTTAAGGATTGAATTTGTTGAGGTGCAATCCAGCAAGCCTAAATTGAAGAAAATTAATATTTCTTTAATGTTTCATTTTTCTTGTAGGAAAAGAACACATTAGAGAGCCACTTCAGCAAACAGTGTCTTTTTTTACTCAAATAGGATTAAAGAGCAGTGCATATTTACTGGCCCTTGGCCAGATAGCTAATTTTTTGCAGAGGTGACTACAATATAGATGTTTTAGATGTGTCAGCCACATTTGGCATTTTGCAGACAGAGTCCTCTTTCATAGTAACTGTTTTCTTTGTTTAAAAAAAAAAATCACTGAAATGAAGGCAGAATATTTTTAGAGGAATAAGCATGGGCCACGAGTTCAAGGGAATTGCTCTGCCGTCAGTCTGATGCTCAAGGTAAAAGTTAAAAGGGACCACGTTTATTTCCCTTTTTTTTTCAAATATCTCCTTGAACTGCATTTTACAAAAGCAGCCCTAAATTTTCCTTGTTAGGGAAGTGGGTTTTCTTCTCCATTTTTAACTGGAGCAGTATTTTCTTCTGGGATATAAGAATTCCTCTCTTTTACTCTAATTCCTCGTTATATAATTTGGTGTTCTTCACTATTGTTGCAAGATTTGCATCCAAGTTGAGTGTTTCCAAACTTTCCTGTACTTTGCACAGTCCTCTCCTCTCCTGCTGTGCTGCCCCAGTCATAGAGTCCTAGAAAGGTTTGGGTTGGGGGGAAGTGACCTGAAAGATGATCCAGTTCTAACCCCCTGCCATGGCCAGGGAACCTTCCACTAGACCAGGTTGTTCAGAGTCCCCTCTAGCCTGACCTAATGTCTGACAGTATTTTCCTGTCTCATAAAAGTGAAGCAGACTGTTTCCTCTGCTGCAGGAGTATTATCCACATAATGACTACCTGATTTGTCTGTATTTAAGCAATTCAGTAAGCTCTCATCATGACTCACAAATATCAGATTATCTTGAATAATACCAAACAACATCAAAAACTTCACAGGGCATCCATTTCAGTTCCCTTTTCTTTTAACCTACACTCCTACTCAAATCTGTCAAGTTCAATAGTTTACTAGTTTACAGAATATAGTTTACAGAAATTCCCTATTAGTATTTGACATACCTTACCATGAAATGAATGTTTTTGCAGGGATGTATTTTTAGTGTGTGTTTTTTGCTTATGTAAAGATGTAGATATTTACATATATAACATTTTGTGTTAAAAGGTGTATTGTTCTTTGGTGTTGTGCTGTGGGTGCTGTCTTTTTTTTTTCCTCTGTTTCCCTTTGAGGGATGTAAGAAGGGAAATAGTGTGACAGCATTTATTTAAACCAACTTAGGAACATAACTATTTATTTAAAAATAAAGAATAAAAATAGCTAAATGTGAACAGAACTTCCCTCTAAATAGTGAAATATTTGATTAGAACATTTTTTGAACATCCCAGTTTCTTTTTATTCATTTAAATAAAATGTTTTTAGCTTACAATGTGGGTCCATCAAAAAAAGCACAGAAAAAGCAAAAGTCTGTGTAGTGTTTAACACTGCTGGGGTTGAACGAAGTCAGTGGGGTGGGATCCAAGGTCAGGACGTCCGTGAGACAGCACTGCTTCTGTTCATCCCACCCTCCATGGGTCCTGATGTCCGTCTCTCCCTTCTGAGAATGGGATTTTGTAGCCCACAGTCTTCTGCCAAATGAGAGCTGACAGCCTGCAGCTCCTCCAGTGCTCAGCTTCTGCCCAGCCCTCTGAGCCCACTGCTTGAGGACAATTACCCGCTGTGGCTTTGCTGAATAGTCTGTTGTACATGGCCTGACAGAGCATTCTGACTATTATTATTTTAAATGATACAGCACAGGGCTCTGCAGGAGGATAAATTGAAACTTCCCACATCAGTCCCTCAGGGCAAACACCATTTCAGACTGGAGGTGATGTCAGAGAGATGCTTGTGTTTTTCATGTTAGCCACAGGGAATGCAGAATGCACACGGGCTCTTCTCAGGCTGTATGGTCAGCGTGTGGCTTTGGGCCAAAGCGAACCAATTTGGCTTCTACATACTGCTTTTTGAGCACACTAAACCCAAAAATTGCAGTATGACTCAAGACCTGTAATACAGGGTGGCTGATCCTGTAGAATATTATTTTTTAATTACAGTTGGATTTGAAAAATGCTGCAAACCCTGGTATTAACTTTCTGCTTAATGGCAAGTAGCAGAAGACAGGGATTTAAGCTTTTATTTTTTTCTATCTGTTTTCTAGTACTGAGTAATTGTCCCTTTTGTGCTGCATGATGGCCTTGAGCTCTACAAGCCCATCCTGGTCTCACGGGAGAGGCTGGAGTTTGTCATCAGGAGTTGTGATGACCCAGTTCCCCATTACTCGCTGTCAGTAAACCTTTGGCAGTTTTATGGCACCTTGATCAATAACAGGTTTAGCCAGAAATGGTGAGAGGAACAGGATTTGCTCTGCAGGATGAAATGTGGAACTGGGGAGAGGAAGGCAGGCAGAGGACCTGAGATTGGAGCCCAGGGTTATGGCAACCTTGGGTGGAAGAGGTCATCCTGCAGAGCGTTTGACCCTCTTTGGAAACAAAAGCAAAAAGTCTCGGTTCTGTGATGGTTAATTTGCCTTAAACTATCAACTAAGAAATCTCTCAGTTCATGTGAAACATAAAATATTTGCATTTATCTAAAATGCTAAATGTATTCACTTCACTGGAAGTGTTCAAGGTCAGGTTGGATGGGACTTTGAGCGACCTGATCTAGTGAGCGATGTCCCTGCCCATGGCAAGGGTGTTGAACTAGCTCATCTTTAAAGTCCCTTCCAGTTTGTGATTCTACTCTAATATATTTTTCATTTTTTTCTTTCCCACAGCAGCCTGAAGAGGAGCAGTCTGCATGTGATGTCACCAGCTCCAGTTCTTCTGCGGATGACACCATGTCCCTGGAGAGGAACTCATCCCTGGGCAGCGACACATCCCTTCCCTTCCCACCGACTGTGAACTTTGCCCAGCCCAAGGACAGGCACAGCCTGGATGGCAGCTGCACCAACATGGTGGCCTCTGAGGGAGGAGAGAAGGAAGAGGAGCTGGACAGTATCACAGATGTGCCCACCCATTCCTCTGTCTTACGCAACTCCATGCGGCCACTGTCTCCTTTCCGTCGGCACAGCTGGGGGCCGGGGAAGAATGCCACCAACGAAGCAGAAATAAACCAGAGGAGGTGAGTGTAGAGCTGCTTTGATTGACTTTACACCCAATCATGCATATTTGCTTGAGCTTTAGGCTTGGCATGATAAAACAGAAGAGTGAGGACATCACTTCTGATTGTTTCTTTTTCACTCCAAGGGTTGAAGACAATCTCCTGACATATGTTTGTTTGTTTTTCTTAAATTAACTTTCAGGATTAAAGTACTTAATACCTGTAGAATGATTGAGCTTTCCAGAGTAAATGGAATTACCTTGGGACAGGTCTTCCATTAGAATTGTCATCACCCCTTTCTATACGAAGGGCTTTACTAAGGGAATTATTGGAGTGTTAAATTTTATCGCAAAATAAACACAGCCATTATTGCTCTGATTGTATTAAGACATAGCACAGGCACCAGGCTTTTAAAACCTGGTGTGGAGGCTCTTCATAGTGGTGAGGTGGGTCATCCCTGTTTCACAGAATTGGTTCCACCTCAGTCTGTAATGGACAGTAAGTCCCACCTAATTCATCACCAATGCCCCTGGTGGTGTCCAGGAAGATTCAAAAGAGAAGTTTTCCCAGTTGTTTTTTCAGAAGATACAAAGGGGAGAGGTGTTAACAGCCACGTGAGTGTGTAGATTCTGGTGCCAAGTGACTGGGGGGAAAAAAGGTTGCTCAGTCCCCCTTCTCAGTGGGGAAGATGAAGTAAAGGAAGATGCAGACCAAGAAGCAGTAATTGGTGTAGGGTTCCCTGCCATGCTCTGTTCAGCATGGGGCTGCCGGACACTTGGGGTCAAACCCTTCATATTCTGAATCCAGTGGAGGTTTGACCAGTGTTTTTGATGTGTATTAGTGCCAAAAAAACCCAAAGTTCTTTTAGGAGGGCCAGGTTGCTGTATCCTCCCTGCAGCTCACTGAGGCTGCAGGCCCTGGCGTGCAGTGCAGTGCCGCTCTCCATCGGCCTGCTGCCATCCTCATGGCCTCAGGTCTGCTCTTAACAGAAAGGGAGTCTTTGCATTTGGTGATGGATGGCATTAACTTAAAACTGGCCACTCACAACTGGTTCCTGGTAAATTTTTGCTGATCTGCTTGGGTAATCCAGAGAGAGGCAGCAGCCTCCTGTCAGGAATGTGTGTGCATCCTTTACGCCTTAGGAGCTGTGAGTGTCAGTAAGGGAATATTGTATATCCTTCAGGTTTTAAAGTCAATGTTGAAAAACATTCAGGACCTTCTAAGTAACACAGGGTGAAAGATTTATTATTGTTTTCTACCACTGTCACCTTTTTTTTGGGCTTCATTCCTGGTCCTCAGGTAATATTTATATAAATTAGGTAATACTTGTCTTTTTAAAGCTACAAGAGAGTCAGCATATGGCATACCTGCAGATTTATGACAGAATGAGTCCATAAGCTCATAAACTCATTTGCAGAGATTTATTTTTAAGTGTAGGACTTGTTGCATAAGGATTTCTGAGGGTAATAAACTGCATAGCTGGCAATCACTGCTAACACTGAACAGATGGGGTTAAATTCTGCTGCATCAGATTTGGAGGCTGTTTCTGATAAGGGAAAATACATTAATTGTTAATGTAAGAAAATCTGAGTTAAAGGAACAGTAATTGTTCTCATATGTTCTCAGATACAGCCGTGGCTACATAAGGATAGCTGTCACGTAGGTTAATTAAAAAAGAAAAGCTGGGTGGGTCTATGGTGCTGATTTGGTTCATGTTTGTTTTTATGCTTCTGTTAGAAAGGAATTTGGATTATTTGGTTTGTTGTTTTCTTGTTTTCTTTGTTCTTTTCATATGTGGCTGTTGTGATGTTGAGACTCTGGTTGCTTAGTGAGCAACAACAAATACTGGGGAAGTGAAGCACAAAGAAGTGACTTTCATAGAAATCAGTTAAATTTGGAGTGTTTCCTTATTCATTTATTTCATATGCAGTAGATACTTTTCCATTGAACGGGAAAAAGGCCTTATTGTAGCTTGCTTTTTGCAAACCTTTAAAGTGAAATAGCATGGAGAACAAGCCTTAGCTAAGGTTTGTCCTGCTGATGTGCTGGATCTGTGCTGCTCCCAGCATCTGCCCCACTCCCTCCCCTCCCATGGGCACCCACAGCACTTCTCTGCTCTGTAGGTGAGCAGGTTTGCACTCACTAAATGAGCAGAAAATTAACACAAATAAAGTGTAATTGCCACCAAAACCAGACCAAGGATTACAACTGGGCTGTGGAGCCAGGAAGAGGTGTCTGTCACTGATGGTGACAGTTTGCACCATCAGTTGAGCTCTGAGAAGTGCCTCCTGCCTCAGCAAAGGACTTGCAGCCTGGTCCAGCCCCCATCCACACCAAAAATAGTCTTTCCCCTCATGACAAATATACAGCTAAGTCAAGCTTAAATAGAAATCCTAATACAGGACCCAAAATGCCTATAGGAAAAAGTCAGTTTTAGGATTCAGCCTTTTTCACTGTTCGTGTTACCTGTTGTAAGAGGGACGAGCATAAAAGTTTATTCACAGAAAAGATCTAAAAAAAAGATAATAATCTTAAATGAAATGTGAAAAGATGCTGAGTTCCCCACCGCTTCCCCTCTCTCCTCAAATACACTTCACGGATAATCCTCATGTCTACATTTTGCTATTAAAAACACAAAGAAAACCAACAAGGCTACCACAAAAGGATGTTCATCCTTCAGTTAATTCCTGACATTCATAGGGGATTTGAAATGCCTGTCTTTCAACAATGCTGCAGTGTGTTCAACGTTCCGGCCGAAGGAAGAAACGCCGCTGTTTTCCACTGGTGGATTAAGCACTGCAGAACTGGAGCTGGTGTTAATCACTGCTGCTAACAGCTTCTGTCAAAGAGATTGGCCTTACCTAAACTTTAAACTGACCTGCCTTTGGCAGCAGCAAAGTTGCAACATGGTCAATACCTGTGCAACCTTCTTTCTCCAAAATGCAAAAACCGAAACCCAGATTTATTAGTAATAGAGAGGACGAACACAGAAACTCATTACTTCCTTTAGTATTTCATTTTGTGTTTTCCCTGTATGTCCATTCCCTCTGTTTGTGTGTCAGGGATATTAACCCTCGAGCTGCCATTTGTTCATGTTTTTCCATTCAAGCTGCTGACCACTCTCCATGATTCATTTTCAGTTCAATGCGAGTTCTGGGGGATGGTATAAAGAAGCCTCCCATTCATAGGAGAAGGTACAAAGCCAACTAATGTAACTAACTGTTTTGCCTTTGAATGTCTACTAACTCCATACTCTCATGTTAGTAAACCCGTAGTACCTCTGGAAGTGTTGGCATTAGAGGTGTGCATCCCGCTTGGCTGCTTTCCCTCTCCTGCCTGACCCAGGGCAGTTTTTGTGCCCCACAGAGCACACATCCAAGCCATTTTCTCCAGGATGATATGTTAATAACTTGGAGAAATCTGAGATATCATTTAGTTGGCCTTTGCTATGTGTAAGATTTGGAGCTGTGTTAAAATGTTTGTTTACCTGGGAGCGTGTGTGTGATTTGGACTTAAAGCACATCACGGTCTCCTGGCAATACTTGCAGAAGGGGCACGTGGGGAGGCAATGGATCAGACACAATCTCATGTTTGGAGAACACTCTGCAGATCTGCAGCTGGTTTTATTAAATGACTTTAATTTTGCTCTTTTTATGCTTTTTATAACCATCTTCCTAAAAAAATAGGAAGTAAGGTGTGTTTTTCTTCTCTATAGCAAACTTTCATGTTTTTTCAGATCCTCTTCCATCATGAAAATGCATATAAGCATTTTCACTCACACAACCTTTGTGTTGTCTATTAATATATGAAACGGGACACTTAATTGTTAACACAGCAGATGTGCACTGACCACACTTAGACATTTTTTGCTAAAGAAATTATAGCAGTTTAACGTTTCCTCTTCAGTGGTTCAACCTCTTCTCATCTCCACAGCTTGCTACCTCTCATCCGTGGCAGGTTAACTCAGTATTTCCCTTCCCTTGAAATGGGTGGGGTGATGTGTGTGTAAACAAACTAGCACATTTCCACATGTGAAAAAGATGTTACAGTGATACTATGACCAAAAAAATCCCTGTGCCTTATCATGCGGCAGTATAAATGAAGTCCTATGAACTGTTCTGTACAGTTCAGGAGAGAGCTCTTAAAAAAGAATCAAGGAAAAAAAAACACAAGAAAGAACGTGGTTTTTTTATTTCTAAGAAGCCACTCTATTTGCATCAGTGTGTTCTGGAGGAAGCTGTGCAGTGCTCGTCTTCTCAGCTCATGCAAATTAACATCTTTTTATCAGTCATCTCTTAAGTCTCCTCTGTAGGAGCTGTGTCATATTTAGGGTGAAAATATCTTGAAACACGGAGCTTACATGTAGAATAGAGAAAATGTCTCAAATAGGCAACCTTAAATCCCTAGTTTTACCTGAAATGTGTGGCAGTTCTTTCATAAACACCCTCTCTCTTGTTCTGGCCTCCCAGCCATTTTGATATCATCCTCTCTAACCCCACTTGCAGAACAGCAGCCTGACACTGATTCCAACAGTCCCTGCTCTCCCACAAGGCTGATGTAGGTAACAGCTCATCCCTCCTTCCCCACGTTGTCTTCTGCAGAGGCGTTTTGTGTGCTCTGCACTGATCTTGTTTGTTTTTTATGGTGTTGCCAACAGACTGTGGGTGGCTCCCCAGCAGGACTGTGATTCTGCAAGAGCGCTTTCCACAGCCCTTGCCAAAAGGTCTTTTTCCTTCTTTGGGATCTTACACCTCTTTCAGACTTCCTCCTCCATAAATATGGAGCCTCTTCTTCCCTCCCTCTGCTCTTCTCTGCTCTTCTCTTCCCTGCAGTTTTAGCCCTTGGGTGTATCCTTACCCAGTTAACATCTTTTATAAAACAGGTAGCAGTTATTTGAACTTCACCATTGAACACAAATGTCAAACCCTTACAGAATGTTTCCAAGGTTGTGTGTGGACATTACATGAAGACTTGGCATGGTATGATGCAGTTAGTGGGTTTAAACCTTCCTCTGTGCCCTCAGAGGCTTCTGGCACTCACAGTTCCTGAGCCAGGGATACTTAGACTGGTTTTGTCCTTTTTGTAGGCTCATGTTCTGGAGCAAAGCATTCTCTGGCCATGTCCTCTCCTTGCATGTATCCCAGGCCAGGGGCTGGGAGCAGGACTTGTGCAGAGCTCCTCTGGCAGATCTGCGCTGGTGCAAAATTCCCTTCAGACAATATATGTTTCCTGGACAGCTTTTCCAGGATTTAGGGATCATTTATATGTCATAGCTGACAAGAAGATGGATTTCTCTGTGTCTGCAAAACCTGCAATTGGGCCATTGAGCTGACAGAGTAAAAATAACAAAAGCAGTGTTTAAAATAACAACCAAAATATTTGCATTCTGTATTTGCATTTCTTATGTCTTTCATGATGCAACTTTGGGACTGTTTTGGGGTATGGGAGCTGAAAGGTTTCCTAGTCAGAAGCACTCTTGATTTAATCCCAAGTTAATAGTAAGACAAGCCTGTTTTTCCCTTCCCTTCCCTTTCCTTCTTTCAGTGACTTGCTGTGCAGCGTTTAAGAATGTGTCTCTCCTTATTTTTCCCAAGCATAGCCTGAGGTTGTTAATACTTCCATGGAGGGGACTTAAACTATTAAATATCTATAAGGGATTCTTTTTCTGATTTGAGGATGAGAATTACCAGGAAAATACTAATCATTACTAACACAATGGCTGTGTGTGATTACTTATGCAAAATTGGCTTTCGTATGTTTCAGTCATGTTTTTCCCAAAAAACTTCACTCCCCACAAGGAGTGGTTTCTCCAGTACATTGTGCACCAGTGGGATTGGTTTGGGGGAAGCATGGGCTGTCCTGCTACCTCTGTTGTGATGACCTCGGGCATTTGGGGCACTGTGGTGTGTTCGTGCAACCAGGCATATGCTACTGCATTATTTCTGAGTTTGTTGGTTGGGTTTTTTTTCAAGATATGTAAGAGTGAGAGTCTTTTACCATTCCCCCGTTCCATAACAATCCAATAATCACTGCCCTTTTCCTTTCTTTGCCTCTTTTGATGTTCCTAGTTTGAGCTGGTGTCCCTCAGGCGTACAGTACCTTGCCATGGGTCCTGACTTTACTTGTAGAAGGTATGGTATGAATAAATGTGCAGCAGCAAAGGAGCCCTGCAAACACCCTGTTGTCAGCTTGTCGTGCATCTCCTCCCCCACCGCTGCTCTGGCTGAAGCGTGCACGTGTTTGTTTTGCTTGGTCTGCTTTTTCCAACCATTAGTCTTGGGAATGGATCTTCTGAGCTGGGGTGCAGGTGAAGGTGGTGGCTGCTTTTCACTGGCCTCCAGCATTAAAGAAGCTGCACTGTTGGGTTGAGCTGCTCTGTGATGACTTTAAGCCGTGTTTTTTTCCGCAGCAATGATCATAATGATAATGGTGTCAGCCAGAGAATCAGAACAAGATTAAATATGATTCAACACTGCTCTGTTCCAGATAAATCTCATAAAGGATTTAAGTTCGTACGGGCTTGTTCTTTGTAAATTGAAAGAGCTAATTTTTTTCTTCAAAGAGGCTAATCATGTAAAACCTTCTGTGAAAAATCAATCTGATCACCTCAGATGAAAATTTCCCAGGCACTTAAAGGTTGTATCTTCTGCAGAAAGTCCCAGAGTTGGGATTGATGTTTGCAGGTCACCTCTTTATACATAATATTGCTTGGAAACCAGTCCCCCACATTTTATAGTTTTTAGCATTTTCTCCGGCTGTTCTTGCTGGTTGTGGGTAGGACGATTGAACTCTTTTTCTGAAGAGTAGATATTGAGAAAATAATTAATCCATCCTTCCTATTACAGATTTAATTATGTTTGGTCTATATACTCCAATCAGCAAATTACAGAACAGTATCACCCACTGATAACTGTTTTATGGGGTAATATTTGCAGGTTTTAGCTGGTTTTGTCACAAGTACATAATTTTTTTCTGCACTGTGTATCATCACTGTTACCACCTTGGAATGTAATAAAAAAATTTTCTTCTGCTCTAAATAATCAGTAGAAATGGGGCTGATAAGTCTCTACAGGTGTTTTAGAATAAACTTTTTAGTGCCTGCTATAAATACACATTGATGAGTTACAATCTTCTTAAAGCAGATTAAATTATAAATGCTTCAACCAACCATTTTTTCTCATTAATTACCATGAAAAAAGTCTTTTGAATATACTAAATCTTCTTATTCAATGTTTACTGCAATTTTTGCTTTCAAGGTGCATATTTGTCAACCACTTAATGCTTCTAAGGGACTCCAGAACATTAATCACTACTCTGCAAGTCTACCTGAATTTAAGGCTCCTCTGGTTGTTTAAATCATCTGTACAGTCTAGAGTGTGTTTTCCCTTTCATTTGTTTACATGTCAGCTTGTTGGCCACTTAGGTGTCATGATTAGCCTCAGCTTGGGATATAAATCCAAGGGAGGCCTTGGAGGGCTTAGTGAGTATCAAATCAAACATCAGCAACAGAATTGTGCTCGTATACTGGGAGATGAATCTGTAAAGCTTGCACATGATCCCACAGTGGCATTTCAGTGGGTCTGTTGATGCTTGAGCCTGAAGAGCAAGAGTGTCAGAAGCAGAATATTAGGTCAAGATTTATCAGATTAAATAGTCCCATGTGAAAGAGGGGATGATAACATTTATTGAATTCAAGAAAAAGATGACAGGAAAGGTAGAAAAGAAACCAGCTTTGGCAGAAAGAAGGACATTATCATTGCCAAAACTTTGTACAGTGGCATGTTTTAAAATAGATTCAGTGGCTGCAGAGATGAATGTTACAGCAGCTGATGTGGCTGCTGGGAGGGGTGTTGGTCCAGGACAGGCAGCACCATTCTATTCAAGGTAGTTTAATTTGGGTGGCTTTATTCCAAGGGAGAGCCCAGTAGAAAGCTAGAAAAAAAAATATGTGGAAATACCAAAATCTTTGTAAGGGGTGTTTCTGGATTTTCCTGTGTACCACTCAAGAATAAAAGGAAAAAAACCAGTAGGAAAGGCTATTGACCAGGAGTTTGAATGGTCATTCAAGCAACTACTGTGTCTCATTAGAGGCACAAAAGTGCTGCTGTTTGCTCTTGAAGAAAATAGAAGTAACATGTCGATCAGTAACATCTGCATTTCCCTGCACAGTTCAGTTAGTGACTGCCGAGTGTCTTACACAGCAAGGTGCTCTGTGCTGAAAGACACTGGTCCCTAGGAGTTTGTCAGCATCTAACCTCTGTGCTTTCTCTTTAGTTACAGCCTAGAAGGCCTTGCTGGAGACTCTGGTGAGAACAAGAAGCCCTCTGCAAACTTGGAGGCTTCTTCCCTGAGCTCCAAAGACCTCAGGCGGAGTCCACTTACCAGCAATCAGTGTGGGTCCCTGGTCCTGCTCACTGAAGAACTCGAGCAAGGAGAAATCAGAGACTATGGTCACCAGGTAAAACTGTCCAGCTGTTGTTAGATCTCAGCAAAATGTTACATCAGCATTTTAAAAGTAATTTTCCCAAGTGACAGTCTCACAAAGGCTTCCACCCTATATGTGTGTGTATATAAATATGTTTTAAAAAATATTAAAAATCTTCCATCTTTAACATGGAGGAATCTCCACCTGTTTTAAGTTTGCTATTTGGTTCTTCGGGACAGCATGGTTGGGAGGCAAAGTCTTAGGTTGAGAACAAGAAACTTCCCAGTTTTCTTCCACTGATTGCATGAGTAATTATGGAAAAGTTATTTAATTTTTAGAATGGATATAGTGAGTCTATCAATCAAAGGTGTTGATTGAATGAAAAATTGATTCTGCAGTTAATGCTTACGCTGCCTTTTGCAGTCCTGTAATACACACATGTACCAAGTAATGATTTATCTGCTAAAGTTTTCGGGTTTATTTTCATATCATAGGAGGAAAATAAAGATTTTTTTCTTTCATAGGTTTAACCAGAATCAAAAGTTTCATTAAAGCAAAATAGTAATTGCATATTAAGAAAATATAGAGTAACCTCTCCAGATCAGAAGTCTGTGATAGCTGTTAAGGACAGATAAGCCACAATATTATGAGACTTCCTATTAATTGTTATTAAAGAAGTAATTATTGTCTTAAATACTATAAATGCCCTGGATTTCTGAGTTAGTATTTTCAGCCATAGTATTTTCTGGGTTCATGTCAGAATCATTAACCATCCAGTCTGTTTGCCCCATAGAGTCACTGCTGTACATCAAGACAGTAAATGGGTCTTACAAGATCTGGCCTGTCGAGTTGTAATGTCACAACTCTCACGTCTTCTTTTGCTTTGGGGAATGGCATTTTTTGGGAACGCACTGCTAAGAATCAGATTTCTTTCACCATGTTGAACCACACTCAAGCTATACCGAGGAGTTGGAGTCACAGCAGCAATTTCAGTGGCCTTCAGACAGTTAACAATGTCTGTCTAGTAATATCTTGCAAGAAAATCAAGCGGCCAGAGTCTCTCTGTTGCATAATTAGTTGTCTTACACTTAAAAGATAAAAAAATTGTTAAATTTCACCTGTGCAACACTGATTACATTTTTCGTGGTACTTGACTTTCTCACCTATTATGTTATTCTGGGATTGTTTAAATTTCTCACTGTTTCAAAGTGAGAATTTCATAAACATGAACGCTGAACTGGGATCTGAAGTTGGGATGGTTCTGTAGCTCTTTACATAAAGACTCAGTGTGGTTCTTTTCTGTTCTGCAGGCACGTCAGACATCGCAGCCACAAGGATTTAATTTCTGTTCCTCCGCTGCTTCATCTCCACTGACCAAATCCATGTCTCTAATGTCAATTAGCAAGCCAGTGCTCGACAGTGAGTAACACGGTTTTCCCTTATCCATGCTGTCATCTGTATTATTGAGTATATCTTGCTACCTTCCCAAGGCAGAATGTGCTAGTAGCTGCTCTTGCTTTCCCATATTATGTGAAATATATGTTTCACTGCTGAACGGAATTCTGGGTGGAAAGGCAGAACTCAGTCAGTTTAGTTTAGCTTTTCCCAGTGTATCCCTAGAATTTTTTTGTATTAGGGTTGTTTTGGGGTTTTTTCTTAAATTAGACTACTGGTATGAAAACTATGATTTACTGAGTTTGTTATTAAAAAAAAAAAAAAAAAGGATTTAATTTTACATCCTTTCAGAATTTCTTCCACTGATGTCAGGTAAATTCCATGTGAGATCTTATTTCCCTATGTCTAGATTTTTGAAAGTGGATACATGGAAACTTGAGAATCCATGTCTTCATCTCCTTTGGGGAGTTTGTTGCTATTCATTTTGAGTTAAATATTTTGGAGCAGTTGGGTATAATTTATTGAATCTCATTCCTGAAGAAAATAATAAAAGATGATTCTCTGAAATTTTCCAGTTTAGCTTAATTGAAGCGATAACAAGCACTTAATTTTGCAACTTGACTGAATTGACTCTTTCAGCTGAAAAAGTCATTCAGAAGGCTGCAGCTGGATGTGCTTAGGAAGGGCTGCATTACACATGTTTTCATTTTATTAATTGCCAGCCAGAAACCAAACTGACATCTTAGCTCACGTCTTGTCAATTAGTGATGGTCTCTGATCTTTCCTCTTTATTAACGTGCTTCTTCCTTGCAAAGCTGAACAAGGGAAAGGTGCTCTGAGAAAGGCGTTGTATTCATGGAGGAGGCTTGCTGGAGGAAACCCACAGGGATTATGCTTTGTGGGAGACATTTTAAAATTCTTTACCGTGATTATTCCGTGATTAATAAGAATGTGGCCTAGCGGATGTGTCCCCAGCAACGGTAACCAAAACATGGGCAGCTCCATCCCGCCCAAGGCCGGGTCCTGCCTCCCCGCTTCCCTCCTTGGGCAGAAGGCATTCATTGTTGTTTTTTGAAGCAGCCAATATATTGGCATTGCACCCAAACGCTGACCAAACACCATAAATAACCCTGTTTGCTCCCCAAAAATGTCGGTGGCTGAGGGAGCCTGGACGGCTGAGGCTCGTCCCCCTCTCCCTTGGCACTTTCCTTCAGGCCCACGGTGGGGGTTTATGACAGTGGAGGATTTGTGCCTCCATCTTGGAGTTGGACAACTTGACTGTCTTTCTGCTCCTCTCTGTCCTGTGACTGATGTTGAAAATACCACAGAGGCCTGAGAGTTGGTGGTAGGCAGCTTTGATTATTCCATCTTCTTCTGGAACCAACCTAGTCCCATGGTCCCGTGGAGACAGAAGGAAAAGAGAAGATGCAGTAAGCTCTCCAGAGGGGCTATGGAAGAAATAGCAGGATTAGTCTTCTTCTGCTTTGAGGCAGATGTCTGTGAGTTTGGGATGCTGAACTTAAAAATTACAAACACTCCTGTGAGCTTTGTTTTCTCAGTCATTAATTTATGATTGCTCAGAAGAGCCTCATTTTTATAGGAAGGCGGTTTTGAAAATCAGTGCATTTGAGGGGTTGATGTGAGCATCCAAAAGGAATAATCACTTCAAAAATTTAGATCATGAGTTCTCATCCCAATCCTGACTCCTTCCTGACTTCAGAAACTTCAGTAAATCTCCCAGAGAAGCTGTGGATGCCACATCTCTGGATGTGCTTACAGCCAGGCTGGATGGGGCTTTGAGCATCCCAGTCTAGTGGAAGATGCCCCTGCCCATGGCAGGGGGTTTGGATCTTTAAGGTCCCTTCCAACCCAAACCAGTCTATGATTATATGATTTTACTTCTTTCTTCCTCAGTCACTTTGAAAGAGGAATAGTGTTGCTTGAGTTGTGACCATATGACACGTGAAGTAGCTTTAGTGCCTTTTAGAAGGTCTCAGTGTATAAACTTCTTTGTATCACTGGAGTTTGACATTCATGTTATTTCAGCAGAACATTTCAGAGTTGTGCAAGAGTAAAAATTGATTTCATGGAAATAATTTTGCATAATTTTGTGGTAGGTGTTAAAAAAATAATTAAAAAAAATCTGATTCCTGCAACTGTGTCTGAATGAGGAGAAAACAACGTGCCTTGCACAAGAACTTTAAAAACTAAATCCAAATTAATAATAGGAGGAATTTCTCTTATTTTTACCATTTATTGTCACATGTGTTGAGGCAGGAGCAGTTTCCAAGACTGCATTTCTATCCCACACTACCATCTGATTTCTCAGATGTTCCAAGAGCTGTTGTGGCCATTCACAACTGTTAATCCTTCAGCATTTTATAGAGGGAGGTCACAAGAGCTCTTGGCTGGAGTGCTCGGAAGAATGCTTTCGGCTTTGGAATAGCAAATTTCCAGTGTGGAGCGCTGTTACAAAGCCAGGAATTGCTATAAATAAAACCACTGAAATGGGAGTTGAACTGTGCTGGAGAAGGTGGTTCAATTTACAGTAAAGTATTATTGTTCATCTTGACTTTTAGTCTAAATAGACAGTAGACTACAGAACAAAAAGCAGGGTTGCCTAATCGTGTTCTTCAGGTCTGGGATACTAGAACAACTCCTTGGAAAGGCAGTCTAAACAAAATTAATGCATCAGTCTTGCTAAGAATTCTTCAATTTAAATGCCTTACATTGAGTCCCTCTAGAGTTGTTCTGCTTATGTTGGAAAAATGTGCACATTTTAGTCAAATTGCCTCTGGACCATTGGCATTTATGATTAATGGCTGAAGGAAAACTTCTGGGGAGTTTGCTTTGCATTGCTTGCATTGCATTGGATGTTCCTCGGACAGTATTTTTATATTCTGAATTCAGTTTTGACGCATGATATCAGCAATGCAAAAAATTCTCATTGTGTGTGGCTGAAAGGAGATGTTTTATTCAAAGAGAGCAATAATTGCTTCTTCTTTCTCTTTGGAAGTTTAATGCTGATGAAGTCTTTAGCCTGTTTTCCCTGTTGTGCAAGTGAATTGATTTATCCGTGGAATGACTTAAAAGTGACTGAATATATGCACTGAAGTTGTTAATTGTAGGTGCTTAAGTAGAACCCTTAGAAGTCAGACCTGTCCCAGGGGCAGAGTTTCTCCAACCCTGTCCCAGTCATCTTTCCTGATGTCACACTGATGTCCCATGTCAGTGATGGGTATCCAGCAATCAGGTCACAGCTCAGAGGTTTCCACCTGTGCTTGTATGAAGAAAAGGTTTGGGAAATACAGCCCTTGGGAATCCCACTTTCAGTGAAGAGTGGCTACCTGGCTCCTGCATCTCTTTTTGGAGAATAGTGTACTTACAAAGAATTGTTGCAAAGCTGCTGCTATGCAAAGTTTTGCTCTTAAAAATAAATTGTTGGAGATTTGATGTCACAGACTGATTCCTGAGTTTGGCACTGTGTTTGGTAGGCATCTTCCAGACAAGGACAGAAGAGGGTGCAGAGGAGCTTTTCTCATGTTTAGGCAGTTTCTTTAAAACAAGGGCTGTGAGTTTTAGAAGGCGGCAGAAGAGATGCTTGTTCTTTCTTTTTTATTTTGTAAGAAAAGAGTGGAAGCTGAAGTGTCTCCTCTTTAAAGCTGGAAATTTTGAAGGGATTTTTAGAAATAGAGGTGGCAAGAACCTCCCCAGGTAGATTATATCAGCACTTCAGATAAACTGTCCTTTCTAATGTCTGGCAGCTTTGCTGCGTCATTTAACTGCAGAAAGCACCTTCAAACAAATACCTTGAGTTGTTCTAATTTGATTCCCTGGCAGTTCTTTTGGTGAAGCTGATGCCCTTTGTCCAGAGACCCACTTTATTGTTGGTATTCTGTTTGGGAAAATAACTGTTTGCATATAAGTCTTCATTAAGAGGTCCTATAAAAAAGATACCAGCAAAAATAGGGAAAGCCTCGAACCTCAAGCTACGCATGCAGTGAGACCTGCGTCCTCAGACCTGCACCTTGTGGAATTTGCACGTTCTCAATTCTTTGTTTCTTGTGCCTTTTCTGGAGCCAGCTGCTTTGCAGACATTTCCTTTGCTTTGGTTTTAGTTTGCTTTGGCTGCTTTCCTCTCCTTTTTATTATTAAATGCATTTTCAAGCATGCTCTAATGTCTGCTGTTAACCCACTTCTCAGCCCAGGGCCGGACTCGACCATCGAGACGGATCTCCTTCTCCTTCAGCATCTCTCCACTCATTCCTAAGTCTAAAACTCTCTTTTCTATTGGCTCTTCTTCCAGTGATGAGGAGGAGGAGTTGGATAGTAAGTAATCGTTTTCTGTGCGTTGCAGCCGTTATGGGTGGAAACAAAGGGAAATCTGGTTTTCTGCTTTAGACCTCAGAATTTCACCTTGCAAACACTGAACTAACCTTTCCATTGCATGATGTCTAATAGCATTGTCTTAGTCCTGTATTTGAATACTAGCTAATGGCAGAATAAAAGGATTATAATCCAAAGAATCTTGTACATCAGCACCATCATGTCTCATCCAGTTAGATTGGTCTGTATCCAAGTGGCAAATATCATCACCTGCCACTCTGACCAGCAATATAATCTTTACCTTTTTACTAAAACCAAAATAACTTGCCTTGAACTTGTTACAGGGCATGGAGTTAGCAGCAGAGGTAGATTCTTGCCCTTTATGGGTAGGACTGAGTACATTGTTCAGTGAAAGATAAGTGGAGTGAAGCCCTGCTTATTAAATTCTGAAAATCTTGGTGGCAACTTCACAGTTCCCCTCCTAAGCAAAAAGCACACATTGCAGTCAAACACCTTAAAACTTCAATATCTAGGTCCTGATATTATTGTCAGAGTAGTTTTGTGGGAAACAGGCAAGAGTTATCTGGTAGCCTTTTTTTCCTCCTGCAAACTATTACTAAAAGAAGCCCAACTGAAGCTGAAGAGTGAATTAAAGTAATTTAGATTCCTCTTGGCTTTTTTAATAGGCTTATCAAAGATAACTAAAAATGTTTCCTATTTCTTAAGCATGTTTTATTAGACTGTTGAAATAAAACAGGCACATTCCTTGTGTCCATACTGGAATGGGGGAAATTGCTTTCCCGTCCAACACATTTTGGTTGCTTCCTGAATTTAGAACAGTATTCGACATCACAATCTAAAACACCATCCATGTTGTAGGTATCTAAGTTCTCCTTTCCATTCCTAGTCTTCCCTGTGGGTTTGTCCCTTCCTTAAGAAAGTCTTGTGCCCAGGTGGGATATTACTGACTTCCATATTTAAGCTCCTTCATATTTGCTCTGTTCTTCTTTTCTGCCTTTCAAAATTCATAGTCCCCAGAAAGTGAACTGTAAACACACAGCTGTGCATCAGTGTGATGCCCCACAGTAAAAAGTACCCTTAGCTAAACTTTCTGGTGGATTTGGAATTTTTTTGTTTAATAGGGTTTTTATTTGTTTGGGGTTTTTTGTTTGTTTTCATTTGGGGAGTTTTGTTCTTTTGGGTTTGTTTTTTTGCTTTTTTTTTTCTTTCTTTTTTTGTGTGTATGTGTGGTTTGGGGTTATTTTTTATTACTTTATTTATTTTTTTTTTGTTTTAAGCATCCAACCCATTAAGTAATATCTAATAGTCAGGTTAGGGTATGACAATTTTAGGGGATATTTATGTTAACCAGTATTCATCTTCTCCAATAGTGCTTCTGCTAACAGTGATCATTTAAAATAACATCTGATACTGTCTCAAACAAAAATGTTGGTCTCTTTAGACGTGTTTTATTCCCTCATATTTGAGGGTACATTGGTGACTTTATGTGAAGGTTGGTTTAGCCACAGCTATTCATAAGACAGTGGGCAGTGGGCATTTTTCATGTAGTAATTCCAGATCAGTTTATTTTTTCACATCTTCAGGGTTCATTTCTCATCAAAGGACAGATGTGTTAACATTGAGATTGCATTTCAGTTACTGCTCCTCAATCTCTCCATGCCTCTTTTTCTCTAGAGTATGGAGGATTACTTGCAGTTTTTGAGATGAAATGGTATATTTAAGACTTGGATTTTGGGTGGCTGGACAATTATTATGGAGCCTTTGGATTTCTTGTCTCACAAAAGTTTAATTAGAGAATTAGGGAGTTGCAAGCTGTTTTGCAACCTCCTAATCCAGTCATTGCTTTCTGCATAACAAATCTTGATGAATTGTTTCAGGCCTAGCTACCATATGAAATAATTTTGGTGGGTGATGCTTAAAAGGTGTTCACATAAATACACCAAAATTTGGCTGCTAGCCCACATTCATTGGACATAAATAGCAGTTCTGGCTTTTGGGGAAAAAAAAAACCCAAAACCTTAATTTTTTTTGTGGGTTGTGAGGTCAGTTTTAGCTTTTCAGTTTTGATCCTGGTTGTGACAGGAAAGAAAAAACTTATGAAAATAAACCTTCCTTCCCCTCTTCTACTTCAGAACAAAATCTGAAGCGAGAAGATGTGTGCTTTTCTGTGCTTGTCTTCATGGGTTTTATAGCTTGCAGCAGTATTGATTATATGATGTTATATTATAACCTAAAATATGAAATCATAAACAGACCTTGATTTTTTATCTGGATCCACTTTGCCTACCAGAATCAAAAATCCACTGTTTTTATGGTAAAACACTAATGCAATAAAAGATAAATTATACATAATTGAAGTTCTTGTGCAATATACTTTCTCCAGGTGCTGAAAACTAGTCACAAATATCAAATTATTACAGCTCATGGTTCAGCGTTTGTTCATATTTCTTATGTTAATTGCAAAGAAACAAAAAGGTTTGTGAAATACTTAAATCCAGTCAAATTTATTAATTGATTTTAAAAAAGGAAACTCTAAGGAGGCTTAACTCAGGTTAAAAGCAATCTAGAACTGAAATATGAACCAGAATCACTGGAGCTTTAGCCAGGGATTTGGGAGTCTGTAAATTACTTGTGTGATCTTAGTAGGGGCTTAGGTAGTGGATATTGTATAAAAATATAATATTCCCTATTGGAAATTGAATAGCAGACTTCATTTTGTATATGTTACAGTATTACTAACTTTGATGTATTCGGGATAGATCATTAATGAGGTGGAAGATTTCGCAAGGGAAACATTAACACAGATCCCCAAGCAGGGACTGGGTAATGGGGTATGCCTGTATTTTAGTTTCTCAATATGAAGAAATTATATTTCTGTCTGTGTTGGCAGTTGAATGGGTGGTTAGAAAATCTGTATTTAAAGCATAATATTGTGTGCACAGTTTTTCCTAATGTACTTACTGCTTTTGAATAAAGGACCATCTTTGCCTCTAATGGCAAGTAGGTCTTTTGCATTCACCCTTAGCATTAATATGTTAACAGAATTTGAACCAAAAGACTATTTTCCTTACAGTATATATGCAGAAGCCTAATAAGGTGGCAGTCATGCTGCTTCTTGAACTTCAGAAAGGGCTGCAAACAGTGCTTGTATGAGGGTTTTTCAGAGTCCTGGCAAGCCCAGTTGCTCCAGAGAGAGCCCTGTGTCCTGGATCATTTCAGCGTTCTTCGATGGTTCTGGTAAATGGTGTCAGCTCCCAGACCTGCTCCAAATGCAATTGTGCAAGCAGGTTTCTTGTGATATAAAGAGAACTGGTGCCATTGGCAGGGCTTCAGCTTCGTGTTGAAATTCAGCCTTTCCTCAAGCTGTGTTTTGTGACGAAGCCCCAGGCTGGTAACGTTTTGTGGAAAACAGAATAAAGCTTCCCTTGTTTCCCTTACTCTTTATGAAGTGCTTCAGGATTTTGATGGGAAAATGAACTATAATTTTATCAAGTAGAAGAGTTGTGTGCATGAAACCCGGATGTGTTGTATAATGGATTCTTTCTAGTGGTGTATAAATAAAAGCATTGTGGCAGAATCATTCTCATTTATACCTATTGTCATTGAATTGGCAGTTCTGATTCAGACAGCCTGATTTACCAGCAAATTTAACAGTTGCACGGCCTTTGCTTAATAGCTGAACACTGATAAAAAATACTAAGCAGGCTTTCACCTCAGCATCTAATTTGAGAGCAGCTAAGGATACAGGGAACAGGCTTTATCCTGAGCACATGAATTCTGTTCTAAACACTCACTTCTGGAAAGCATTTCCCTTTCCTCTTGAACCATCCAAATATGCAAACTATGTTTTTTAAGATCAGTGGGCTACGATTGCAGTCTAACATGTCACCCCCTGCCCCTCCGATCTTTTCCAGGTACGCAGTCCTTCGGCGGCTCCACGGGTTCCTCAGTCCAGAGGTACAGTATTCTGGGGGTATCACATCTCTTCTGATGGGGCTCCTGCAGTGGCCTCTGCTTTGGACACCCAAAAGCCTTTCTGGCACCAGTGCACTCCAGCTGAAATCAGAAGTTTTCAGATTTGTGAACATCAGTCTCGTGTGTGTCTAAAGGCTGAAGAATATTTTAGGTCATAGAATGGGAAAGTCTGTTCTAGGTCTCATTTCTAACAAGGCTTTGTGTTTATGCATAGCTAATAACTTCAGATTATCTATGGTTACACAACATCAGTTTACCCCGAGTTATATTTTACACTAAAAGTAGTTCTTCCTCCTTGTGGTAATTCAGTCTATATCTCTGTAACAGAGGCCAAAACAATCGTGGTTTTGTACGTTACTTTTCATCTTTGCAAGTTGTGCAGAGGAGATAATTTTCCTGGTGTTTTTAAAAGTGCTTCCCCAAAGGAAGGACGTCTGTGGCACCAAGGGACCTGAGTGTCTGGTCTCTATGGCTCTGGTGGCTTGAACTTTATTTCATGACTGGGAGGCTCTTCCCCTCTACTTGCTGCTATTTTCTCCTCCTTGATTTAATTTATATTTCTGTTGTTCTGCTTTTGTTTTGTGTTGTACTTCCTATTGATAGACTGTGTCCTTTATTGCAATAGTAGTTTCCTTATTCTTCCACCACAGATGAAGTCATGAGCTTGTGCATGTAAAGACTGGCAAAAAATAACTGGCATCCTAAAAATGCCTAAATTAATACATATAATCATTGTTGTTTATTACTTGGTATTCTCATTTCTCAGGGGAGGCTTTGCAGGCAGTGTGGTTTCTGTTAAAGGCACTCACTGCCTTTTCAGAGTTCATTAAATGCCTTTCTCGGGAAAGAGATTGCTCTTTAAAGTATTAATGGTTCCTGGTTATTTGAGCAGGGGAGCAGCAGAGGGTGCTGTGGCAAGGCCTGCTTAAAAACAGATATGAGGATTCCTTGAAATTTAACTCAAAGCAACTGGATTGGCATTTTGTCTTCACTTTTCTTTCTCTGGTATAACACCATAAAGCAACCTTTGATGCTATTGGCTAATAATAAATGCATTTTTCCTTTAAAAAAAAATAAATCTATCCATTTAATAGATGCTTTGGGGAAGAAAAAAAATACAAGCAACCTTTTTTTCTGTTTTGATTCTAGCATATCTGAAGAGAGCAGCAGTGTCCCCACTGGCAAAGGTGTAACGAAAGTCAGTCGCACCTTCAGCTACCTCAGGAATAAAATGTCCAGCAGCAAGAAGAGCAAAGTAAGTGCTTCTTGTGATTTATGGAGCCACGAAATGCCCACAGGCAGCAGAGATGAGTTCTGTATTTCAGTTCTGTGTTTCCATAGGGTGGTATTTAAGTCTTTGCCCGATTTTCTCTTCTTTACTTTCTTTTACTTCCTTTCTGTCTTCTGTGAGGAGAGGATTGTCTGTGTTGTAACAAGGACTGGCTACATGGGAAATCTTAGCACCCCAAAACTGAGCCCTAGGACACACTCTGGGAACTCAATTGGTGGCTGGGCACTAGTGGTGTCCCCAGGGCTTGATTTTGGGGCCAGTCCTGTTTAACATCTTTATTGATGATCTGGACGTGGAGATTGAGTAAGAGGATATGAATAGATGGCCTTAAGATGAGTCAGAGGAGATTAAGATTAGATATTAGAAAAAAATTTTCACTATTAGGGTGGTCAGGCATTGGAATAGGTTTCCCATGTTGGTGGTGGATTTGGCACTGAGTGGTGTGGTTTAGGGGGGTTACAGTGGTAGTGCTGGGTTGATGGTTGGACTGGATGATCTTGGAGGTCTCTTCCAACCTTGAAGATTCAGCAATTCTTTGTTTTCACTCTTTTCCCCACAAAATGAAGCTTCATTTATTATAGAGAATAGATAGTGTTCTGGTATGAGTTATGGCTTTTAAGTGATTGATGAGTCTAATTTTTACAGAACCCGAGAGGTTTTTAATAAAATGAGGAGGGAGCTGTAAGAAAGGACTGGCTGCCGAAGGGTGTGGTGTGTTTTTCTTTTATTTTTACTTTTGCCACTAAGTTTCTGTGCACTGCAAGAGACATCGCTCAAACAGTGACCTTTGGTGATGGCAAATATTTATATTTTCACCTTTTTTCCATCCTTGAAACCCTGGGATTTAATTTGCTGAAAGACAAGTGCTGCTCAGCACAGCTGAATTTCCTGGGAACTGTACTGGTTACAGAAATAATTATATTAATACTAGATGCTTCACACAAACGGGCAGTTGTTGCCTTAGATTGTCCCCTTAAGGTTAATATATGTTTGAGGGTTTTTTTGGCTTGGTTGGATATTTTTTGCTTGAAACTCGCCTCTCTTTATCTGTCTGACCAAGCTCAGAGCACCTTACCTCGCCGTGGGCAGTGTGTATTGTATCATTAGGTGAGGTGTATCTAATATGTTGGTAAATGTTGGAAGGCCCCCAAGAGGTGTAATTACACACAGTTCCTCTTTACGGGTCTGCCTTTAAAGACACAAAGCCACGAGTGCCAGTGGCTCAGAGCTACTGCTTTGCAGCTTTAAGACAATGACGTTCCCTGCTGCAAAGTACGATGCCAAAAAGCAGATCTGCTTAACATAGAAACTTCTGTTGCAAACGCCAGTGAGAAGTTCACGACATTTTACACAGATGTCGTGGATGGGAGTGGAAATTCATTAACTGGTTCTTGCACTTCAGACGTATAATCTCCAAAGGAAGAACTAGAGGAAAAGATAAAGAGATCTGGTTGGGACATATAAAAAAATACAACAGAACTGCTTTCAGAAATTTACTCTCCTTTTGTTAAGTAAGTGCAGGCTGATTTCACTGATGTCATGATTGTGTCCGAAAGTGTTGATAAAGAATTGCTCCAAAATCCCTACAATAACGCACAGTACAGAAATTGCAGCTGATAATCAATTCTGATATTTTTACTAATTAAAAAGCCAGGATATTATTCAAATTACAATTTCTTCTCTGCTTACAGTGGAATGCTTGCATGACATACTTTTTTAGGGCTCCACCCTAAAAAAACACCTTACATTCTTAGGCTCCAACCTAAAAATCCTAAGGATTTTTTGACCAAAAAATTCTTGGGAACACTGATTTCTCATCAGCATTACAGCTGAGGAAAACTGGTAAGTATTAAAAAGAAAAACAACAAACCTTAAAAGAGGAAGTTTGACAGGAAGTTGGTTTCTGCTGCTGTCTGGGCTGTCAGGAGGGAGGGACGCTTTGCTTCAGCTTCTTTCCAACTAGGTTTTACTTCTCTCCAAACCTGCACTGTTTTCTAAGGTGAACTGTAAAATAAAGCACACCTGAACCTTCTAATGGCAACAGCTCTTTTGGAAAATCATGTAAACAGTTATGTAAAAAACCCTTAAAAATAAAGAGGTGTTTGGAACATTAACTGTAGGGGATACTGATTGTTGGTGTGACTTTTCCCATGCCTGGCATGTATTTGGTGTTATTTGGGGATTAGCAGTGAATCTCTTGCTATTAGCAACGTGCCCTGATTCACATTTGTGAAGTCTACAACACGCTCTATTTCTGTCAATTCAGGAAAAAAGGTAGAGGGTTTCAGAGAAATGATGACAATTAGCATGAGTAATTTCTCTTTTTCCTTGCCTTGTGCAGTAATAAGGCAGTGCTATACCATCAACAGCATTTCAGTGTGTATAGTAAGAGTTGTAAGTGTCTGAAAGATTAGGAGACAGGGAATATTCCTGATGCGCAGAGCAGGAGGAGCTCAAACTCACAAAACTTTTCTGTCTGGGCATCTTCTGCAGCACTTTGTTTGCTGAAGTACTGCATAGCAACACTGAGGTATGTTAAAATTCGCTTTTTTTCTATCCCAAACATCACAGAGTGTTTGATTTACTACCCTCTCTCTGCCTTTTAAACGGGTGGTCTCTTAGTGACTTGTGACTTCTAAAAGATTAATCACATCCTTTTCTGCCCTGTAAGTTGTTGGTTTTTTTTTTTTTATACTTCGTTTTAGCAGTGGGAGCTAGGGTAGGGCAAGATGAAAGCAACAGCAAAGTAGCTAAAATCATCTTCAAGGAAGTTAGCAGCAATCGTCCCGCCCTCCCCCTTTTGCTCAACTGCTCTGTGCCTGCCATCCCCCCAGCCGGCCGTGCCGGCAGCTCCCGGCCATTGGGATGGGCTAGCGCCGGTGGGGAGCAGCGCTCCTGCCCCCCGGGGGGAAGGATGTCGATAAAATGGAATAGATTTGCAGAAGTACCTCAGATAACAGTGAAGCTGGTGGGACTTAAGCACTGGGAGGTAAGAGCTTCGTGGTTCTTTGGGGGAGGGATCGGCTGCTGCAGATCTGTTCCTTTGGGTTTGCGGTACCTGTCGTGTCTGTTCCTGCACGTCGGGTTCAGCTGCAAAGCTGAGCTTCAAATCCTGCTGGCAAGCTCCAGTAGCTCAGGAAAATGGTCTTGTTTTTTTACAGTCCTTTTTAAGGATAAAGTTCCAGTAACTGTCACAGGAAAAAAGCTGGGGAAAAAAAAAAAAATCTCATTTTGAGACCTTGTCCTTCAGTGGCTGGCAGCCTGTGCATAGTGTGCTGTTTCCTCCCTGAAAGTGGTGCACCCATTTCCTGTTTTTTCTGGGGTCGTTCAGCTTTAATTAAAATGTTTTCTTACAGTGATTTTCATGAAGGCAGGGTATTATTCCAGACTTCAGAATTACTGGGCTTTGCAGTAGACATCAGGTAGAGGTTTAAAGTATAGGATGGGAAATCTCCTTTCATCATGAGAGTCACAAGATTTGCCCTGAGCTTAGAGTGATCTTTTCTCCTGGAGCTTCACAAGACTTGGCAATAGAGCAAAACTCCAGGCATCAGCTTAGTACCATCAACCAAGGCCTAAACTGCAGTTTAAGTTCTTAAATCATGCCAGGTTGGACATGGTTAAAGATGGGCAGGTCAGTGGATGGAGGATGGGACTGTGGATGTTTCTGTGGGGTGTTGAACCAGGCTGATGGCTCAGAGGAGGCGGAGATGTGATGCAACACAGATGCAACACAGACTCTTCCTGGCAGGTTTTCTGCTTCATACAGGATTGTTCCATATGGTAATGCTCCTAGCTTTGCTTATTTGCAGAACAAAATAGCGTTTGGGGCCAGTAAATAGACTTTTTGTTTATGACACTTTGCAGGGAGAGACTCCGACACTGGGCATTTTACCTGGGAAGTGTTGGGAGAGGAGAGTCCTTAGGCTGAGTTACTCATTATTTGAGTGTGTCATCAAGAGCTCAACAGTTTCCCTGCGGGTGACTGTAGAGCCCGATACCTCTTTTAACCACTTCATGGCAGTTGCTCACAAGGGCTGCTCTGCAGCTCCCTGATACTCAGGCTGTGACAATATTAGGGGGACGACACATAGCATATAAATAACAAAATGCAAAGATAAGCTCACAGAAGCCTTTACCAATTTCTGGTTAAGCTTCTCTTTCAGATGCCAGGAAATCCGCAGTAACAGCTAAAGTACAGAACTGGAGCTGAATCATGGGGTAAACAGGTTATAGGTTGGTACATAGAAAGACAAGGAATCACTGTAATTAAAATTTGGAGTTTTTCTGTGGAGTTTCCTTTAAAAATTGTTTGGAAGAATTCCAAATCCATGAAAGGCTGCAGGGAAAAATGTTTCAAATTTTTGGTATTTAGTATTTTCTATCTAAGGTAGCAATAGAAAAGTAAGCAGAAACTCTGCTATAAGTTGGAGAAGCTGGCTGTGCTTGTCATCTTTCCAAAGCTGAGTAGCCCAGAGGTTGAACTGTGGTTTGTGGAAAATGAGAGAATCTTTTATGGCACTGCTGTTGTTCCTCTGCCTTTCTGTGGTGCCATACGTGGAGAGTTTTTAAAAGATCCATTTTCTCAAAAAAGCTTCACATGATTACTTGGAGTTGCATGTAACTATTGAAAAAGTTGCTAGTTGGAAGGAAAACAGAGGTGGAAATATTCTGGCAGTGAAAGCTATACAGGCACTGAGGAAGAGCTTGTGTTTTCCATTAAAAATGCAGTTGCAAATCTCAAGCTTTACAGGTTGGCCTTAAAAATTAACTGTGTTGAAAATATGGCACACACTGCACGTGGTGTTTGTATTTAACACAATTCATTGAAAACACTGAAGAGGCTGATGAGAGCCCAGAAGAAGAAAAGAGGTAAAGTCATTAAACCAACAAAAATAATACAAAGGTGAAAGAACAGACTTCAGAACAGACTGAGTTTCATATCTGCTGGTGAGACATCTGTGAGTCAGTAGTATGTAAATCCACATCTATGGGGGCTGTAAGGTGTTTTTTAACAGAGAGCTGTGCAGACACATGGCCATTGTTAAGGTGTGCACTGGTCGATATCGTCTCAGTGCCAAAGGCAAACACTGAGGAATTTGTAACTGGAGAATAGACCTTGCCAACTACAAGGCTTTTGGTCCTTTTCTCTCTGCAGGAAAAGGAGAAGGATAAAGAGAAGACTAAAGAGAAGGACAAAGATTCCAAGGAGAAGGAAAAGGATAAGAAGCTGTTAAACGGGCATCTCTTCACTGCAACCTCCGTTGTAGCCCAAGCAACCTGTTACCACTGTATGAAACCTTTCAATAAGGATTCGTACTACTGTGCAAGTAAGTCAGGGGAGGTTCCCTCCTTTCCTTTTGTTTTTCATTGAATCTGACATGGAAAATTCGAACCTTGGTGGGAGGGAGACTTTGGAGATAGTGATTCATGGAGCAGCATGTTGCCTTGTGGAAACTGGACTGAATTGAGTCGTGGCTGCATGGAGGTGTCCTGCAACCTCATTCCAAGCTTGAGCTCAGCTGTCACAGCAATCCCATGGGGTTTTCTACCCCTTGTTGGGCTGTATCAGTCAGCTGGAGAACTTGTTTATTTCAGCTGCATGTTATGGCTTGGGCCTGAGCTGCTTTGATAAGATGGAGAAAGGACAGGGACAGCTGGCTTGGATCATGGCTTTTACTTCCAATGGGAAAAAAAAGTCCCACCCATCTGTAGTGTATTGCTTTAGTTCTCTGAAATACTGCTTCAGTGAGCCCTCAGTGAGAACCACATGGTGCAGAAAGGAAATACTCACCCTCTTCTCTCTTTTTACAAGAAATTGCATCACAGGTCAAATGGCAACTACCTGTGTGTGTGTGAAGTACGTGCACTACAGTCCAGGCAGGACGGGAAACACATCTGAGGGTTTCTGCCAGATTGGTGATTTTGTTCTCTTTTCTTATCACGCAGTTTCTCATGCCTGTAGCTCAATAAGGTCAGTAGAGTTTGTGTGGTCGAGCCCAGAATGCTGCCTGGTTTATGCAGCAGCCCAAAGCTATAGAATATGCAGACAAAAATGTCTTTTTCCCACTGCAGCTCAGGGCTCTTCTTTCCTCACTATTAGTAATTTTTTACTCCACTAGCCTAGAGATAAGTCAAAGCATTTATGGGAACTGCTCCCAGGCTGGAGCCTTCTGTTCCTCCTGGTAGATGTGAGCAGGGGAAGGGGCAGCCAGCTGAATCCCGAATGGCAGTTCTGAGTTTCCTGGAAGAGATTTCAGCAAAGTTGTTCACATGAAACACGCTCTGTGTCAGCCTGATGGGAAATGGAAAACATCAGCAGTTATAAACTCTCAAATGCATTCTCTCCCTTTCCCCACTCAACTTTCTTTACAGCTTCTGAAGCCTCTTAGAAAATGAAATATATCCCAATTTAATTTTCCCTATATTCTAATGAGTTAAAATAACCCAACAATGTCATATGTTTTAGCATAGATGTTCCTTCCTTATTTCCAAGATACAATGGAAAATTTTTGTAAGTTTTCTGCATTGGACAAGAAATGAATGCCATGAGGAAGGTTTGATGAGGGCCCAGGTTGAAATGTCACATCTGAGAGTGCTCCATCCTCCTATTGCATCTTAAAATCAACCATCAGATGTTTTGGAAATTGTGGATAACCACCAGCAGAGGCTCTCTTATTCCTGTGCTGTTGCAAACTAGTGCTACCATTACTGCTCTGTCTTGCCTATGAATGACTCTTTCTTAATGCCTTTTAAAACACTGGATCATTTTAAATCAATGTCTCAGCTTTTCAGTGATACCCCCCAGCTTCCTGAAACAGCTAAAAGATTGAGAATACTGTGAAACAAATGGGCAAGTAAAAAAGCCTAACTTTTAATAGCTTCCTGCCTAGTCTTTTTTAATTTTTTTTTGCAATCAGTAATGCAGAAAATAAGTTTTTGGGTGTTTTAATTATTAATACTAGTGATACAGAGGAGTTGGAGGAACTTCTTGGCTGCTGAAGAGTTGAATAGGTGAAATAAAGTCCCTGAAACCAGATTTTTCCATCTAAAAAATCCAGATGCTGTATTGCCAAATAGTACATACTAAAGAGCTGCCTTCAGGCTTTCAAGGCCTGAGTGTGAATTTAGTGATTCTGAATTGTCTCACTGCCTGTCTTTGTGCACCAGAAGCAGGTTCTGCCCCTCTTCCTTGTTTGATCTGAAAAAATGATAGTGCTTGTGGGTTTTTGCAAGAACATGCAGGTTTCTTTGTTCTGTCTGTCTTGCACAGGAAATTGTGAGATGACAGAATAGAAACACCCAATGACCTTACCCTTATCTCTGTCAAAATATCAGAATTACTGTCTTTGGTTAAGTAGGCCTAAATGTAAAAATTACTAGGAATGTGAGCATATTTTGTGATTCTGGACATGGAATTTTTTCCTTTCTTATTTTTTCAAGAAATAATTCAGAATTCTACAGTTACAGTATGACTTCAATGTAAAGTACAATTCATTATCTATGTTAATGTTTTCATGAAAGAGTGGAAATAATTTTCTCTAAGCTACTGAATCTCATCTGAGAGCATTTAAGTTGTGATCTTTCATCTGCCGAGTTACAGCCTCAAACCCTATTATCAATTACTATGAAAGAAAAAGAGAGTAGTTTTAATCATCCTTTCCCAGAAATCTGCTGGCAGAGATCATGGGCAGGCTGAGGCTATTCCAAAAAAACACACAGCTTTTGCTCTGGCACATAAAGAGCAGAGGTTGGGGGTAAAGCCTGATGGTCTTTGCATTGGTGGGTGCTGTGGTTTCCGACCAAAACGGTGCCTTCAGTGCAGTTTTCAGCAGGAAGTCCCAACTTCCCAGACATGGTCACCTGGCACATGGTCCTGTTGCTATTTTCTGGTAACCCTGTAGTAAAACCCTGTAGGTTTCTGTGCTGTAGATCTTGCCTATGATGTCTGAGTTTGTGTAAATGAATTTTCCTGTCTTTTGGATCTCGCAGTCCTTGTTTTGATGAGAACAGTATTTCTGTTCTCAGAGAAAATATTGGCCCTACAATTGGTTTCTGTCTCCTGCTTCAGCTTTCCACTTTACTTTCAGAGGAATAATGCCATGATTTTCCTATCCTTTTTTTTAAAATTTAATTTAAGACCCATTGGTTAAGACCCCTGACAACTCAGCCTTGCACTGATTTTTAAAAAGAATTTCGTATTAAATTCCTTGAGGAAATCTTAATAACGAACAAAAGGCTAATTATCCTGGAGAGGAGTCTGTCTCAGTATTTAAAGCTACTCATGCAAACCACAATGATGCCTGAAATTTGTAATTCTCAGTTGTGTAAATTAACAGTTGAGATTACAAATGCTGAAAACCGACCTGTTTTCTGTGTGATTTTGTTTAATTGGTTGGGTTTTTTACTTTTGACAGACTGCAATGCAATTGTTCACAAAGGCTGTAAGGAGAGTTTTGCTTCTTGTGCAAAGGTCAAAATGAAGGTAAGCGAGTTCATCTATTCTGCTGAATGAACAAAAAAGTTTATGCAGATATATAACATATTCTGTCATATGTCACAAAGTTTCCAGCTTGTTGGAAAGGACTTCAGGCCCTCTGCTGAAGTTTTCACATAAAACTGTTAAATATGTTGTTTATACGAGAAATACATGGAGTTTGTGCTTACCCCAAATGCAAGGAACCTCATCCTTCAAGCTAAATAATGTTTATAAAGTATGATTTTCAGTTCTCTTCAGTATTATCAGCACTTTCTCATTTTCCTGTTTCTCCACCTGCTATTTTGCCCATTTCAATATATATTTTTTTCTTTTTTTAAATACACATACAGCCAAAAACTGATCTGTTCTGAGAGGATTCAGTAAAACATAACTTTTTAATTTAGTTATATGGAGCAAATTGCTGGGAAAAAGGAGAAATTACAGTGAAATTCATTTTTCTTTCAGCCACAAAGAGGGATGCTGCAGGCACATGATACCTCTTCATTACCCACAGTAACCATGAGAAACAAAAGTAAGAAAACTTCCTTTCCCTCTTAACTGTTCTGACAACTGATAACTTGATATTATGAAAGATAAGCGTTTATCAAAACAGGGATGAAAACATCCTCTGTGTGTGGTAAGCAGTATTTGAGATTTCAGAAGTTGTACTGAAGCTGTACAGAGTTCATCTGCTTCTGCAATGTCCATGTAGCTTTAAGCAAACATAAAGTCATCTCAGATTTAAAATAACTGCTTGACTGCTGTAGCTTGCTGAATGCTTACAACTGGTAAGTCCACAAAATCTGGAAGATGAAGCTTGTGTGCAGGGGGTCTGACACTGTTCCCAGAGTAATCCAACTATGAGTATTAAGTGGAGAGGATGTTTATTCAAAATGCAGTTATTTTTGTTTTAATTAAATAGTCTTAGGCTTTGAGGTAGACAAAATAAAATGTTTAATTTTGAGTAGGAGGAATGCTTACAAACTTTTCCTGACTTTGCTGAGATACACATTGCACTGCAGAGCAGTGTGACCAGGGGAAAAGAATAGGCATGAAATAGGATTATCTTTTCTCTGTGGTACATACTGATAGAGAAACCTATGTCAAAAAGTTTGACCAGAAGCAGCAAGGTACATATAATTATAGGCTGAAGGGAGTGACAAAGCAACAGAGTAGATTAAAACATATGATTATTTATCACATAAAATTGAATTCAGTTTCCCAAGTATATGTTTCTGGACTTGCAGATCCCACCTAGGAATTTTAAGCATAGTGCAGTGCAGTCAGTTCTGCACAGGGGTCCGTGTTCTTTCCTTCCTGTGGCCGTTTTTAACTGCTGAGATCCCCTGGTGATGATTCTGGAAGGAAAAGGAAGTGAATTTTAGTGCCTGGATCCTTTAAGTCATCACCACCATCACAGTTAGCAGCGGTTAAGGCGGTTGCATGGGCTGACTCCTCTCCCACCCTTCCCTTGCAGGCTCACAGCCCAAGGAGCGCCCTCGCTCCGCAATCCTTGCTCCTGATGAAAGCACCGTCACCTCAATATTCAACAACAGGAGGTCATCACAGCAGCCTACAGCACTTTCTAAAAGTGTCTCGATACAGAACATTGCAGGGTAAGGTTTCTCCCTGGACACCTGAGCACCCGTGTGTTACCTGATGCTGCGAACATGAAGAAATGCAGATCTCACTGAAAATAGATTCATGGACTGTGATTTGTGCTAAAAGTACAGAAGAGGTTCACAAAGCCAGAAATAGCCACGTTATGTATGATACCATCAGGTGTCTTGTGCACAGTCAGATTGTCTGGTTTAGTCCAGTCATGGCCTGAGTTCAGAGGAATCTGAGTTGGCCTGGTTAGATTCAAGGCCACATTTTAGAGATGCTCTGGGATCCAGGAGGAAATTCCCTTGCCTTGGGCTGAATACTGTGCAAGCACACATTTGCAGTTCAGGTATGGTATTAACTTTAGTGTCCATGACAGTAGGGGTGAAGGCACAGAGCTGCAGTCTGCCTGGTGTTTTCGGTCTGCATTATACGTAATTAATTTTTTTAAAAAATCGTAGAAGAAAATCTGTTTTATGATTCCTACCCTACCTGCATTTTGAGCATTTCTACACATGAGGCAGTAGCATGGACTGCCATGTTCTGGGCAGTTTGGATGCCCTGGCTAGTCATGGTGAGACTTATTTCAGTCCATTTTTCTCACCTTTCTCAGAGCTAATGATAAGGACTCGTATATAGCCTTTGGTGTTGCATTTTTTGTAGGGCAGTGAGGATGGGATGTGACTAAAATGGAAAGTAGTGGAAATGGAGTTATCCAAACCATAAAACCTCAGGTGTGATTCTTTATAGAAGCACCAGCACTCAGAATGGTATCTCTTACAGCTTCTTGAGCCCCAGTGGGTAGTTAGAAAACAACTAACAAAAGCACATTTCTGTATGTAATCGTGCAGCGCTGGCTTTTTTTTTCCAATTTGTATTTAAAATGCATTTCTTCTGGTTATTTGAAAGTACATTTGGCTGGGTTTTTTATGCCATAAACAATATTGTACGTTCTGTTTTTCAGCAGAGTTGGGAACGATGACAACTTAATACACACTTGGAAATTCCTGTCACAGTCAACAGACTCCTTACATAAAATCAGCCGGGTGAATGAATCCATGGAGTCACTGGTTGATGAAGGTAAGAGATCCCCATGGCATTTATGGCAAAAGGAAGGTTTCCATGCTGCTTTCCAGAAACACAGAATCCATTTTCAGCAAGTGTCCTCCTTTCTGATGGACAGTTAAAGTGCATTTATTTTAATCTTAGAATATCAGCATGATAAAAAAAGCCCCACGTACTAATTACTTTAGCTTGTTAAATTGTGGGAAAACATTTAGAAGGTTTCAGTTACAGTTGAGTTACTTGGAATTTAGCTCAGGGAAAAACATTTCCTCTTCTGCTGTGGTTTTTCATCTGCGATGTTGTTGCATTGCAGGTTCAGAATACATTATCTGAGCTAGAATTTGTCTGTGTGAAAGTGGTGAACTAGTTTTTTGCAACTAAGAAATAATCTTTAAAAGTGCTTTTCATAGCCTGGTCCTTATGTGGTACATGATTATTTGTGTCGGGAAAGGAGAATGTGTGTCATTTCTGTGTTGTGACAGACAAAGCCTAAACCTAAATGAATAGACAGGAATCTCAAATAGGACAAGTTACCCCCATCTTTATGGCACTGACATTGCTTTGTGAAGGTGCAGACATGAATGAAGGACAGCTCATGGGAGAACTGGAATTAGATTCCAAGCAGCTGGAGGCAGAGTCCTGGAGCCAAGTAGTGGACAGCAAGTTCCTACAGCAGCAAAACAAAGATGTTGTCAAACGGCAAGATGTCATTTATGGTGAGATACCTGCATCTTCATTTGTCACTTGTTTTACATAGCTTCTTGATGTTCCCACTCGCACTGATTTGGGACCCTTTAGGTCAGTGAACTTTAGGTCAGGAAACATTGACTTGGTTTCCTTAGAAGCCAATTTCATTCTTGCAGTTCTTAGAAATGTAATGTATTCTGTGAAAGCTTTCTTTTTGCAATTCACATATCCAGAAGCCATCAAAAATTCCCAGAAACTACTTCTCCTTGTTTGTCTGCTGGTGACATTTAAACTCAGTTACAGCAGAGCAGGTAGCCAGGAATTCTTCTCCTGACAGGTTCAGGAGCCATCCTGTACGGCAAAAGGGCAGTATGCTGAGGCTGGCAGTGAGTTAGTAAGGAGCAGACACCAGGGCTGAAGGTTCAGACCTCAGTGTCCAAAGCTCTTTATTGTGGGACTCCTCTGCCCTGCTCTCACACATGAAACTGTTTCTCTCACACATGAAACTATTGATGGATGTTTCAGTAGCTGACATGAAATTTTCTGAAACCACTTAGAGAAGCCCAGTTATGGAAGAGCTTTCTCATGGCAGAGAAAATTTCTTATGCTGTAACCCATGAACTCCACAGTGACCTTGGTTTTGACCTTGTCCCTATCCTATACACAGAGCTAATGCAGACAGAAATGCATCACGTCCGCACCCTGAAGATCATGAACGATGTGTACAGCGCAGCGATGTTGAAGGAGCTGCAGTATGATCAACAAGTCATTGACAAGATCTTTCCCTGCCTGGAAAACTTGCTGCAAATCCACAGTAACTTTTTCCAGCGGATTCTGGAAAGGAAGAAGGAGTCATTGGCAGACAAAAGCGAAAAGAACTTTGTTATCAAGAGGATAGGTGACATCTTAGTGAATCAAGTAAGTGCTGGAAAATGCTTGCAGTTCTGAGAACACAGCTGGAAACCAGGCACTTTTCCTTCCCTCCTGTTTGTGCCTGTCAGATAATCACAGCTGATGGCACCTTTACTCTTCCCACATGCAAGAATCTCCACCTCTGCTTTTTTTTAAGCACTTTTTGCTGTTTCAGACGAAGGTCCACTGTTGAAAATTAATTTAGTTCATTTTGTGGGAAAGAGAAGCATTTGCTGACAGGCACAAAACAGTCTGACCATAGCCTGGAGTGTAGGCAGGAGCTCACAGCAAAATATGCTCAGTGTGTCTCTTGGCTACATTACTGATCTGCTGTTTAACTTTGGGTGGGTCATTTTGCTTTTCTTTATCCGTGGTTTCTGCCTTCTTTTTGTCTGTTTTGACTTTTTTTTTCTTGGCTATTAAGCCCGGTGAGTAGAATCCCAAATTCTGCTGTAGGTGTGAACTCAGTAAATTCCCCATATTGGCTCTTTTTACTTTCTAGAGATCTGCTTCCTTGATTTAGGATGCCTTGGACTAATTTAGTTTCATCAGATTCTGTTGAGAGGCTGGCAGGCACTGCTGGGATATCACACCAGGAGCTCGGTGCAGATTGGAGCTCTGTGTCTCATGTCTTGCAGTTCTCTGGTGACAGTGCCGAGCGAATGAAGAAAACATACGGCAAGTTCTGCGGGCATCACAACGAGGCAGTCAATTACTTTAAGGATCTGTACTCAAAGGACAAGCGGTTTCAGGCATTTGTCAAGGTAGGACCTGATAGGACAGACATAGTGAATGGAAAAAGCCTCTCCTTCTTGCACTCTGGTGAGCGTTTTGCTACAGAAATGAAATTTTCACCTTTATTCCTCAGAAAAAAATGAGCAGCTCCCTGGTGAGGCGTCTTGGAATTCCTGAATGTATCCTGTTGGTAACGCAGAGAATCACAAAGTACCCAGTCCTTTTACAAAGGATACTGCAGTACACCAAAGGTAGGGACCAGTTCCTTTATTCTAAGCGTGTATTTGTTCATCCAGTGTAAATTCTTTGGATCCTTTTCAGATGAAGCAGATTTTCTTACCAAGTAATCCAGTCATTGTTGTCTCTTCAGCTGTAATGAGATAACTCAGTTCCATATCTCCATTTAGGATTAGTTGTTCAGGTACCTTGATTTGGTTAAGTCTGTCTGTAGCTAGTTATGGAGCAACATGCTTAGACTCCGAAGTTTCCTAGCTTGTTTATTTTGGTAATGGATAAAATATATGATCAATTTGTATATTTCATCCATACTCTGTCAAATACAAAGCATATTGGAATAGTCCCCAACCTCAACCACGTATATGTGAAAGGTTTTGTGAAACTCCTTAAGGGGGAAAAAATGCATCCCATCTCATTTAAATATGAGTTATAATAAGTTTAAATATAAGTTATAATGCTGGAATTTGAGAGGGAGAAGAGGAAGGAAGGAAGTAAAACTGGGAAGTTAAGGCTCCGCAAAGATGAAGTGAAATCGAGGTCCTTCTGTTTCTTTTTTAAAGAAAACGAAGTGGAACATGAAGACTTGACTCAGTCATTAAACCTCGTTAAAGATGTGATTGCTGCAGTCAACAGCAAGGTCAGCAATTACGAGAAGAAAATGCGTCTTGGTGAGATTTACAACCGGACGGACAGCAAGTCCATCATGAGGATGAAGAGTGGCCAGATGTTTGCAAGAGAGGACTTGAGGCATCGGAAACTCATCCGAGATGGGCCTGTTTCACTAAGAAGTGCAGCTGGACGGCTAAAAGGTAAGACTGTCCTGCCTTCTGCTGATGCAAACTGTTTAGGAGAGGCTCGGGTGTCCCTGCAGCTGCCTCTTGTTGGGTCAGTGTTTTCTTGAATTGCTTTTTGTTTATTAGGTGGAAGTAGTTTTTTTAAGGTGCTGTGAACTGAAATTTTCCCCTGAATTAAACACTAACTCTCCCAGTAGTCTCCTTCAGCTGGGACCATGGCAACAGTAAGAGCAGTCAGGGCTGTGTCCCAGGCTTGGCAGGAAGGCTGGGCTTCCCTTCTCTCCCTCCAGCATTAGCTGATTAAATTATGGTCTGTGGGCATGAATGGGGACTGGGAGCCTGGTACTGTGCTGTTATCACTGCAGGGCCGCAGTAATAACATGGAATTCCATATAGGGTATGATTTATTTCGAGGTTTTGGAAACAGGAAGTTTACAGATGATTTCTAGGCACCCGAGACTACTATTGCCTTTAGATGATTGATGAAGCAAGTTATGCTGCTGTTGTGAAATCCTGTGATAAGCACTGGCTCCATTTGCATTTCTTAGTTATAGAGATGCATAAACATGTCTGTAGTGCAAACTCCTAGGGAAAGCAGGTCGTGCAGGCAAGCTGCAGACCCAGGGAGAGCAGCTTGTTCTTATATTCAGGCTATTTTGCAGGATTTGAAATGCAGAACAGAGAATTAGAGGAAGAACGTTTCTTAGAGAGTTTTAGCATTTCCCCTCTTGCAGAGTGCACAGAGCAGAGAAAAAGGGAATCAAAGGCCACCTTTTGCAAACCTCACAGAGCTTGGATTTAATTTTGCAGCTTTGTTTGAAGTTTCTTGGTTCTTTTCTCTGGAGTGGATCCTATCTTCCCAGAACAGAATGGAAGGATTTACCCACGGGATGATTTAACTTTTTGGTTTGCTTCCTCTCTGTCACAAGATTTCCCAAGTACCGTACACAAAAACTCTTTGTACCGAGGGGTCTGGGTGGGGCATTACACTTGGTAGTTGCTGTGCAACTTTATGATATGTCATTAGGAGACTTGGAAAGCTGTATGTGCACTCTGGGAAAAGACTGATTTAAAATCCTCTGTTGGCTTGAGGTTGTGCTTCCTTCTCCCATGAAAGAAAGCCAGGTCCTGTGTCTCACACAGGCTCTGTCGGCTCCCCTCGGAGTCGACAAGAGTTGTGTTTGTCTGAGAGCAGAATTAGTGGTGGCTCCTGAAGTCAGTATTTCCTGGGAAAGAAACTGCAGCTGGCAAATGTTGTTATTGCATGATAATTTACACTCTGCAAACCACTCATCAGGAGAACCATAAAACCCAAAACTTCCTGTGCAGATATTTTGCTCAAGGGCTAAAATATTGATTGTTGGAGAAAACAGAGCCTCTATTGAGTAAACGTCTCTGGCTTTTGCTGTTATGCCCATGTCTTAACTGCTAGTGAGCATGTGGCAGGAGGGGAGCACCCCTGCTCAGGCAGACGAGAGCAAATCCTGCTGGTTTTCCAGATGCTGATTTGTTCTGCTTAATGCAAAGTCAGTTCAGAGCTAATCTGACTTGGCACCTCCCGGAGCTGCCCCTGCTCCTCCTTCTAAGTGGGAGGATGATCCTGCTTCCAGCATTTGCAAAACCATCCCTGATGCTCCCCAGAACTGGTGTTATTACAAGAAATCTGTTTTGAGGTGGGTTGTGTGGTTATACTTACTCTTATGCTTCTTCTTTTGCAGAAGTCCAGGCTGTTCTCCTCTCTGACATGCTCGTGTTCCTTCAGGAGAAGGACCAGAAGTATGTGTTTGCCTCACTGGTAAGACTTTGACCTAATCTCCTTCTTCCTTTTCTATGTGAGAGACCCGTGATGTGTGTTGTGCAGCAAAGCCAGCCATTTTTCTGCTAAACAACTCAATTTTCTTGCAACATTTTTGTTTGCTGAGCAGACTCCATTCTTTCTGACAGGAAAACGTGTCTGCATGCCCCACCTCCCCTTTCTGCGGTGCCTTGGCACAGCTGATAATTGGCCTTGAAAAGCTGCCTGTCACTCGATACACTTGTGCTTTTCAGTTTGTGCACATTGAGGCAGTTGTTAGGGTGGGAGGGGGCAAGGAGATAATGCAAACATTGTAAAAATGAACCTTAGGAGAAGGAAATATCCTAATGCATTGTGAGCTGCTGTGGGGGGTGGTGGGCTGAAGTGCAAGTGCAGTAAATTCAACAGAACAGCTGGAAAATAAACATCAGAGAAATATATTTGTAATGCACAAGAGCAAAAACATTAGCTTTTGAAGGCAGGCCCCTGCCAAGGGCTGGGCACACTGACCTGCTAAAGAGAACCTAGTGCCTAATGGCTGTAGGTTGGGCTGTACCTTCCAGGCATGGTCTAGACTGGCTAAACCTCGTGACCTTTCCACTCTTTGAGCATTTTGAAAGCTGTTAATTTGTTATTGCAGTTCCACCAACCCTCTGCACAGGCTCAGTGCCCTACACAGGAGAGGCTGATTTGCACACAAGTCCTGCTAGTGGACCCCTACCAAATCACCCCAGTTTTAGCATCTGGTACAACACACAAAGGGACTGACTCGTGTGTGGATGACACAGCAGCAAAGGGGCGTTGTAACTGAGCAGGCTGATTACACAGACACCGTAACACAGAGTGAATGTCATCTTACACACGAGTTCTCACACAGGAGTCAGCTGTGAGCTTCTGAGAACAGCAGAGGTTTTGTGGCATTTGAAAACAAGATGTTATTCTATCCAGAGAGAGATCATGAAGATACTGCGTGTGAAGCAGGCACTAGCAAGCTGCACCAAGTGTAAGGAGCTGTGATATTAATGACAGGGAGAGCGTGGGCAGGAGGAAGTGAGATCAGAGCAAAATATGGTAGAGTTTACAAAACCACAAAGTCAATTCTAAATTAATTCTTTGTTGAAATGAAATGAGGTGAAATTACTTTTCCTACAGAACTGTTGGAGGAAAGCAAACCATTCCCTGTTGTTTGACCCCATTAAAATGATTGATATTTTTTAATTAGCCAATAGGTTCACAAAATGTTTACAACCTGAGAGATGTAGTGCTACAGTTTATTGTGACCTTTCCAATATTAGTTTACACCTGGAAAGTAGCACTGTTCACCCTCCTCACCCATTTCTTTCCATCTAAAGGACCAGAAATCCACTGTGATCTCTCTGAAGAAGTTGATAGTACGGGAAGTGGCTCATGAAGAGAAGGGTTTGTTCCTGATCAGCATGGGTGGAAAAGATCCCGAAATGGTGGAAGTCCATGCCAGCTCCAAAGAAGAACGTAATGGCTGGATACAGATAATTCAGGACACAATGAACACCATGTAAGCTACCCAGCTGTTCTTGGGAGGCAGGTGGTGCACATGGTGGTGTTCCTGTGGTAATCAAGCCTATCCCTGTCTCCTATCAGGGATAGAGATGAAGACGAAGGAGTCCCTTGTGAGTCTGAGTTTGAAAAGAAATTGTCTGATGCAAAAGTGAGAGGACTGAAAGGTAAAAAATCCTGCCTGGGACAGAGCTGGGGAGTGGTATTGGAAAAATGTAGAGGAATTTTTGAGTTGGGTTTTGTGGTTGAACGACAACTATTTTTCAAATGGTTGAGAGCCCTGCATCTAGCAAATAATTGCAGTCCTGGTTTGTGGCTCACCTTCCCTGCATTATTTTTGTTCTGAGCCTGTTGGGTGCCACTGCTGTGCATGGATTGTGCAGGGCATGGTCATGCTGTATCAGTGTGTGCTGCCAAACCCAGCACATACCGTCAGGTTCCACTAGATGGGGCCAGCATCTCAGGAACCGCACAGGTTTCCTTGACGAAGCTTTTATTTTCTGTCTTCATCTCTTGTTTTCTGTTCACCCCCACAGAACAACTTCAGCAGAAGGATAAGCAAATCCTGCTCTTGCTGGAGGAGAAGACGAAGATCTTCCGGGACATGGCAGACAGTTCTGTGCAGGAGGAGATGCCAGGCTCCAGGCTGCTCTTCAGAGCCAACACAGAAGAGGCTCCGAAAGGAGAGGCCATTATGAAAACGGCAATAAATGAAGGTGAGCCAGTCAGGTGACATGTAAATTACAGTAACCAACAGACCCTTCAGTGAAAGAATCAGTTCTCAAGCACCTGTTTTTCAGGGGAAGTCTTCTCTTTGTCAAAATAACAGCACAGATGAGGCGATACTGCTACTCACGATATTGTCTCAGGGACAGGTCATGAGGATCAGGAAAGGAAGCAGATATTAATGGGTGTTGAAAGAAGGCAGAAAAGTCAGCACAGAGAACAACCATGCATTGAACCTGCTTTGGGGTCAGAAGCAGCACAGTATTTATCCTTGGTTGAAATTTGGACCATCCAGGCTTTTTGCTGTGCTTCAGTCTCAGCAAGATGTGAGAGTGGGACTTGGGTTCCAGCAGGCACTTGTGGTGCCTGCAAGGGACAGTCAAGTCCATTGACAAAGGCAAGGGTAGATGGAAACTCAGTCAGCTTTCCAGTGTGATTTTTGAAGAGGCTAAAAATTATTAGATGGTGTTTTCAGAGCATATCAGGTTGCCTGGAGGAAGAGAGGGAGGTGGAAGCCTGTGCAGAGCTCCAGGAATTGGAGTTAATGGTCAGGCAGACTGAGTTTTTGCAGGGGCAATGTGTACTGTTTATACCATTGTCACAGAAACACAGGTTCTTGGGCCAGCCAAGTGTTGTGAATTTCTGACCTGAGCTCAGGCACTGATGAAATAGCTCACAAGCCTGAGGTGGCCTTTAACAGCGACATTGTTGTTTTTTTATCAGTTGAACTGCTGCAAGACCTGGTGAACAGGAGCCTGGGCACTGCCCTCGGACAGCAGGTTACCAGCACTGCCATGGAACAGGAAGGAGGAGTTGGCCCCATCTCTCTTCCTAGAAGGGCGGAAACTTTTGGAGGATTTGACAGTCATCAGATGAACGCTTCCAAGGGTGAGTCGTTACCTGTGTGCACATCAGCATTTTTTCTTAATACCTGTCGTCATATCCTCTCGCTTCAGAAGGACTTCAGCTGGTGATTTGGGTTTCACAACTCCTCTCCAGTAATAGTTGATAGATTAAATCACAGATTAGGAAAAAAGCCTACGTACAGGTAGAATGACGGTACCTGAGAACTTGTGGCTACACAGGGATTAAACATCTGAACTCTTTACTCCTTTCTCTCTGTGTTCTCTCTAACTCATCCTTACTCTTGTGTGCCACATGGAAGTGTTTGGCTTCTCAGTAAATTAGTTTCTTCGTGTTATTATTGTTGTATCTACAGCTCTGTTCTTTGTTCTTCACTTATCTTCCAGCAGGAGCCTGGTGCTGTTGCATTTGCAAATGGATGAGGATATTGCTGAATCGAACACCTTCTCCCCTGTCTCTGCGCTCTATGCATTTGTTTTCCACCTACAACTGCATGTGTTATTCCTGCAATTAAGTCTCTCCCAAAGAAATGTGTGACTATTTATTTCAGCTGCATAGTTGGCTGCTTCCCAATGCTCTCTTTCTTTGCCCAAGTCATCAGAAACTTCCCTGTCCTCAAATTCCTTTCTCTGTGGTCTCGCTCACGCTCCCAATACAACCAGTTTTGCTGTGCTGGTGTCTGTCTCAGCACTGGGATCGTTGGACCTCGTCTGACCTCCTGCATTAAAGGAGCAGTGTTAGCTCCAGACAGTCAGACATGAGAAATATGTAGAGGCTTTCCCAGCCCTATTGGAAAGCTGCAAAGCCCTTCACAGGCCTTGTCATTATAATGACAAATACATTCACACCGGAGGGGTTTGTTTAGGGTTGTGCCTCTCTGTTGCAATGATGAATGGGGCAACCTCAGGCTGTTTGTTGCCCAGCTCTAGGTTTTCTGTAGAAATACCCTCTTCTGAATTAGATTGTAATTCAGTAGTTCTAGGGTCTTGGGAGATTCGGGGAAAAGAATGCAGGGCCTGTTTGTTCAGCTGGAGACCAGGAGGTATGAAACCTGGCATTCACCTCCAGTTTTTCTGTTCACAACCTGTGAAACTTCAGGCAAAGCTTATAACCTGACTCCCCTTCGTTCTCCCCTCCAGCAAAGCAGAAGGGAGGTGTTTCCTCCTGCAAAGAGGTGGAAGGTCCCAGGACGTGGCGCAGGAGAGAAGGTCTGTTAGGAGAACTTGAGGGTCAGCCTTTAATAGCAAAGCCTGCCTGGGGGGTGGGGGGGGAGAGGGCCTTTGCACTAGGTATGGTGTCTTTCACACTGATGCAGATTCAGGTGTATGTAAAGTTGTTTACCATTAAAACAGTGGCAGTTGGAAGGTTACCACTGCAGGTGCAGGTTTTTCCCATGGGCTGCATCTCAGCTGGCAAGGGGAGTACAGGAATCTTGGCAAGAGCTAGAGGATGGAAGGTCTGTGTGACTCCTTTGCCACCCCTGAGCGGAAAGGCAGCACAGGGGGAGTGTTACAGTCCTCCTGTCCCCACAGATCAGCTCAGTCCTGCTTGGGAGCACTGGTATGAGCCTTCCAGGGGGAAGTTAGAAAGAGAAGTCCAGTGTTCCTTTGAAGATCCAGGTTTCTGATAACTGAGGTTAATGGTAAATTGTTAGCATAGAATTACACAGGGTGTCTCAGAGCAGTATCTGACCCAGATGTAAATTAACTTGCACAAGAGAGGCATTGAAACTATACCTGCAATAATATACCCTGATATGATTCTGTTATCATCCTCCATCTGCTCTTACTCTGCCTCATGTCTTCTCAGCAAGTATTCCGTGGTAGAAGATGGCAGTGCAGGGGCTAGAAAGAACACCAATTGATAGCAGTGTGCTGAAATTATCAGCACGTTCTCTGAAACCAAAGTCAATCTTAATCTAAATTCACATCACTTTTTCTGGTAGTGCTGATGTGTTCTGTATATTTAGGGAGCAAATGCATTTAGTTGAAGTGTCAAGAGCTCTGTGTCCCCTTTTCTGAAACATTTGAGTTTCCTGTATTAAATGTCTCAGACTTCAGCAAGTTCATCCATGGTTTAGGATGTTGAATAACCAGTGTCAATGCTGGCTTCTTCCTTTAGGTGGAGCGAAAGATGAAGGCGATGAGGCTCAGGACCTTCGGAGAACAGAATCAGACAGCATTTTGAAGAAGGTATGGCTTGGTTTATCTGTCTGCTGCTGCTGAGTTCAGATTGCAAGAGAGTCTTGAAAAATGCCTAAATTTCTTGACAATTAGAAATGTCCTAGTAAGTTAAAAATGAAATATAATTGCAAGTATGCAACCAAAACTGCTTTGCTATAGCTAAAATCCTGACTTGAAAACTAGTGCAAATCAGTTTTATTCCTCAGTGGCACAAGTTACCTGCCATCTGTCTGCAGAACAGCCAAAGCATGTGTTTAATTATGCATCATCATTGAAATGATAAGGTCAGCTATAACCTTGCACCTATTCTTGCTGCAGATCAATCCATCACATAACTACAAAATGTTGCCTAATTAACATTTAATTGTATATGATTTTAACTTGCCTGAAAAACAGCGTGTGAATTCTTTCAGAGTGGAAGGTGGAGGGGGTGTTTAATGGGTACGTCATTAGTTCAGCTAATTACATTTGCTGTGATTTCTCATTGTCCTCATATTAAGTTTGTGATCTTGTCGTAGGGTGGAAATGCTAATCTGATGTTCATGTTGAAAAGAAATAACGAGGTAAGAATTGATTCCGTTGCTCAGCTGTTTCCTTCCTTTAAGTGGGAAGAGAATTTGTCTCAATAAGTGATAATGTAGAAGAAAACACATTTCATTTGCTGAAGCGCATCTAGACTTTTAAATACATTAAGCTGAACCCACTGTGTCATTTATTTGTTTAACCTTGGATGTTCACGCAGGGAATTCACTGATTGTCATCTGCTTGCCAGCAGGATGATATGTGCTGATTATAGGCAGCAAGGGTTAATTACCACCAGGATGCACAGGGCTGTATTTATTGTGCATCTGCAGACAGAGAGAGTTTAATTTTATGTTGCAGGTGCAGTGAATTGGGGCAATTAGATTTCTATTCTCCCTTTGATACACATTCATAACTTCCAATTAGCATTAATGGCACAATAAGAAGCAGCTCTCTTAATACTGGCTATCGCATCACTACTGCAAATACTGCAGTGGTTTTTCTTCTTTAAATAACTGTAGGATATGAGAGATTCAGAGAAAATTTTAGCTAGGCTAAATTTGGGGATAGGGCATCAGTCCAAAGTAGGTTGCTCTGTGTTGATGCACAAGGTGTTTGCATTTACCTGTATTTTCGGAGAGCCTCCAACAACACACCTGCTGCTCTTGTGTACCTGCTGTAGTGCAGCTTTTCTGTCTAATGGCAGTAGGACTTGTATGGGTCAGCTGATGGAGAACAGTACAAATAGTCCACATTCATTTTAAGATTTCTAGGGGTTTTTTCACCCCTTGAAGTTCTTTTCCTGAAATTTTTAAGCGAACTGTTGGGTTTCATTCCAATTACTCTTGCTTGTTCCTAAGCAAGCTGATGCTGTGGGAAATGGTTTGCAATGACAAACGGGGACTTCCCATGAAGTCTGTGCCACAAAGTCTGTGCCACAGAAGTGCCTCTGCAGATGTTTCTTCAACTGCTGCACTGACAGCTAGGGAAGGGAGGGAGGTGATGCCAGGCACCTCTGGGAGATGTCCAAGGGATGTACTGGGGGACGATGCAATCATTGCAGCAGAAGAGTGAGGAAAAGGAAGGTGCCAGAGGGATGGCTGTACAGCTTGTCAGACCGTAGTGGGTCACAGAGGGAAGGAGGGTGCTGTACACCTGCCCCAGCACCCAGGGAGATCTAATAGCAACGCTTTTGTTTTCTCGCAGCAGGTCCTCCAAACCATTACCAGCCTCCATAAGCTGCTCAGTGCTTTGCAGGTAGGCTTAGCCCTTCATCCTGCTTCTGCTTGCTGTTTGCCCGAGCTGCCAGTCGTGCTTCACCCCTGTCTGCCCTTCTCCTCTACCTGTCACATCCCTGCATGGCTGGATACTCCACAGCAGCGTGCTGGGAATGTGGGAATGAGCTGCTCACCTGTGTTTGGGAAGATGCTGGGGGAGATGCTTTTCAGCATCCTGTGCTAGCCCAGCTGTAAGGCAGCAGTGCCGTGCTGTGAGTTGGTGGGAGACAAAGGGGTTCAGTTCAGCACCCTGGGGTTTTCAGAGGTGAACCTCTCAGGATGCTGTAGTGATTTCTGTGCCTGCTCTCCCAGGGCGTTGTGCTACAGCAGGACACCTACATTGAGGACCAGAAGCTGGCTCTGAGCGAGAGGGCTCTGACCCGAAGCTTCTTCCGGCCGACGTCGCTGCTGGAGCAGGAGAAGCAGCGCAACCTGGAGAAGCAGCGCCAGGAGTTGGCCAACCTGAAGAAGCAGCAGACACAGCACCAGGAGGAGAGGCGGAAGAGAGAGAAGGAGTGGGAAGTCCGGGAGAAGGAACTGGCAGAGCAGGAGGCCCAACTGGCCCAGCGCGAGGAGCAGGTCCAGAGAAGGTGGCAGGAGCTGGAGCGGGAACGAGAGGAGCTGCAGATGAAGAAGGCTGCCTACCAGCTCGACCTGGAGAGGCTTCGCACGGCACAGAAGCAGCTGGAGAGGGAGAAGGTGCAGCTCAAGCAGGATATGGAGCGATTATCTCAGATGCGGCAGGAGCCTGACCACAACCAGGTAAACGATGCCAAGGGCCAGGCTCCCCGGGAAGCAGAGCCCTGCAGGGAGCTCCCAGCCAGCTCCTGGGCCAGCTGTATGCCTGCAGGGGTAGACTGGTGCCAGCCCAGCCCTAGACACGGGGGACCTGGTATTTCACACTGTCTCTTTCCTTGCGTGTGATGTGCAGAGCTGTGTTTCTTGCACCTCCAGAGCTGCTGAGGCACTGCCAGTGTTGGTGCAACGTGGAGTATTTGGGATGCCTGGCCAGTGCTGAGCAGTGGGGGGCCACAACAGCCACCACTTCTGTGTGCCATGTGGTGGGGGATGGCAGAGAGGAGGTGGCTGGCTCCTAGAGAAGATGTCCCAGGCAATCCCAGGAGGCTGATCCTGCCTGACATTGGCCTTCACCCCATGAGGGCAGAGCTCTGGGGCACAGTAAGGCAAAGGAGACATCTTTCTCAGAAACAGCCTGAACGTTGCAGGTTACCTGCACCCTCCAGCTGTCACAAAAGCCTCTTGTGAGGCTGATAACTGTGGGGCAGGGCTGTTTGTGTGCTGACATCCATCTGCAAAAGCATTCTCAATATCTAGCAAAGAGATGGGCATTGTCCCTGTCCTGGAGAGACTGGGCACCTGCAGTCCGGTTGTGGCTTAGTGAGCAAAGGTCCCTGGCTCTGCTGAGAAGAACCTTCTGGTGCCTGGCTGCCCACAAGCACAAAGACACCCCCCCCTCCCCAGATCCTGCTCTGTGCATTTTTCAGCAAGCTGGGGTTTGTTTCTTTATAGCTGTGCAGCAGTCTGGGGGAGGAGAGCAAGCATCGTTGGCAAAACATGGGCTGAATTTCATCCTTAAGCCTGTTGATCATTTGTTTGTTTGTAACTCACTGATTCTGACTGTAATTAGCTTAGAGCTGTAGCAAAATTAGTTTATAAATGTTGGATTGCCAAATGGAAATGATTTTTGGTGCCTGAATGGACTAATTTTGGAGCAGTGCGCTCTGAAAAGCTAATCACCAGAGGAGGGCCTGCTCCCTCCCACCCAGTTCCTGATCAAGCCAGAAGTTTTCCGAGCAGCCAGTGAAGCTGTTCCAGCATCAAGCACACATAGACATGTGAGGGGCATGGATGCTGTGGGAAAGGCTGAGAGGTAAAATACCTGCAAGGCTTAAGGGATTTAAGAGAAGGAAACACCTTTTCGAGGCAGGTATCTTACTGACATTGCAGAGCTATTAATAGAGGGTTCAGTGAGGCTTTGTTGGGCTGTTGTTTTGATCTTCCCTTTGAATGTGCAAGCTCAATTACATCCTGAGACAGCCGTTAGGAGAAAAAAAAAAAAAAAATCGGGAAAAATGTTTTTGCTTTCATCTTTTGCTTGGGAAGGCTTCCTTTGACACATGCTGCTCTGGTGTGCTGGCGTTCCCCTCCCGGAGAGGCACACTGTTCCTTGGCCTCCTGCCACCATCTGTGTGTGCAAACGATGCAGGGTGAGTCTCGGTAGTGAGATCTTAGGGAATATTTGCCCTTGGCTTGTTGATACATAGCATAGTACATGTAGGAGCAAAAGATAGTGGAGTGTTACTCTTTATATGCATCGTTTTTTTCATCTTAAACAGGGAGGGCTTTTCTCCTTTGCTTTGCCTGGATAGGGACAATGTTTTAGCTGGTGAATGGGCTGGATATTCACAAGAACGATGTCTGTATGAGTGGTCTGGGACACCTTTCCTATCCAGGTTCTCTGTTGCCTCTTTCATAAAACACTTTTCCTTTATAGGTTTCCAGTCTACATGAGAAACTTGCAAGAGTCTCCTCCCAGTCCAGCATTGATGAATCCTCCAAGCAGAAAAGCCCTTCCCTTCCTAAACAAGGGCACTTTGATGCAGAACTGTCTGTCTCCCCCAAAAGGAACAGTCTTTCAAGGACACACAAAGAGAAAAGCACTTTCCATTTGCTTAGCACAACAAACCAGACTAACAAGGCAGCTGAGGAACAGACCCAGATGCCTACTCGCCTCTTCAGTTTAGCCAAACCAAAGGAGAAGAAGGAAAAGAAGAAAAAGGGCAGGGGACACCGCTCCCAACAGTCTGGTGAGTGTTAGGGGAGGTCACAGGTGTGTTTTCAGGGTTGCTGAGCTGGCTGTTTTCTTTCAGCCAGCAAACTTGAGGAAGCACAAAACCTATCTTTAAATGTGGATGGTAACACAGGGATAGAGAAGCTCATCTGTGATGAGTGGAGTTCCCAGCTTGAAATGACCTTCTGGGGGCTTTTCTGCCTGTTCCACAGTCCCTGGTGTTGTCAGAGGGACACCTTCTCCTCGTTGCTTCTCCCCTTTCCCGTCCCATCCCGAGCAACTTCCACAGGCTGAATTTTCAGTTTATTTTTCAGCATGCTCTGTTTCAAGGAGGAAAATGTTCTGCTCTGGTGTCTGTGCTTTCAGGAGCTGCTGCTGGGGTGCTCCTGGCTGTTGGAGCTCCTGAAGCATTGATGTCTTCTTTAGCTCTGTGGTAGTTTGAAAGCGATAGCCACAACCCTTCTGATGGCCTCTCCCTTCCCCTCGAATTGGTCTGTCTTACCTCTTGACCTGAAAAAAACCAAACCCCATGCAGTTTTTTTGTCTGGCAGTTTTGCATCGCCTTAGGACTTAGATCTCCACCTCAAACCTCTGACCCACATGAAATTTGATCACACACCCTCAGCTGACCAGCTTTATCCATGTTAACTCACTGATGCTTTCCAACTTGTGCACAGGGAAGCTCACCCATTACAAGGTGTGATTCATGGCACCTCAGGGGACTGAACATCTTCTAAGGGGTCCAGTGGTTTTGGCAGACAGTGGGGTTTCTGTGCACATGGAGTCCCGCTCTGCCTGCTCTGTGCCTGTGTTCCCATAGTGATTCTCACCTGTTGTTTCTTGTGCTGCAGATTCTCACTCGTCAGAAGCACCTCCAGAGGGTGAGGAGATCTTCTGCTGAGCACAGACTGTTCCTGTGGTCACTCGTGGCATTGGCACCGTGGACATCCCCCTGCCTGTTGCACAGCAGCAGCTGGTGCCTGCGCTGGACAAGCATCTGGAGGTTTTAAATAAAACGTGTTATGAAGTCTGTTAAGTGGTGGATAAGGGCCTCTCTCCTGTGGTTTTGCGTGAATTCTCACCACAGAGGCTGAACTGCACAGCAAACAGTGCTGTCTCTCTGTGCAAACCTTGGGTTAAGTGAATTGGGATCAGACATTTTCAGTCTCTTCTTACTGCTAAAGGATGAGAGAACATAGCCTTAAGGGGTCTGTGCCTTCAAATTCCCTTTTTCTGGGGAACATAACCAAAACCAAGCGTTTAGCAAAAGATTAGGACTCTGCAAATGGTGCGTACACACTGGCATATATAGATATACTGTATATATACATATATGTATCTATGTATCCACTGGGATGTGCTTACAGCCAAGGTCGGCCCATGGGCATAGATGATACCTGATGACTTTCAGGGAGCGTGTAGATATTAAATATCTTGCCCTTACTGCTCTGATTGTAACGCCAGTGACCTGCACACCCCTTTTGTGCTCATGGTTTCACAAGGGTACCTTACATCAGGAAGCAGTAACAGCGTTAAAAAACAACAACTCAGAGGAAAAAAAAATAAAATCTAAAAGTCATTCTGAAAGATTTCCATGGGGCAGAGGATTGAAATGTCAAATTGTTTCCAGAGCCAAGTAGAACATCTTTGTGTATGTTGAAAATGGTGCAGAAAAGAGAAATTTGGTAGGCTGGTGAGGTGATCCCAGGGAGCCAGAACAGACAGTGTTCAAGTGGGAACAACTCCAAACAACCTTTTTTTCACACAGTCACTTTGAGCTCCAGCTCACTCCTTCCTGAAGCAAAGATTATCTTTTTTGCTGGAAGAGTTCTCCAGTTGCATTTGACATCCCCATATAAGCCTAATGACTTCCTGGGGGGATGGCTCAAAAATGTGCTTTTAGGGACCTTTGTTCTGTTATTTGTATTTTTCTTAGCCCATTTTTCGTGTTACCATTGGGCTTCTGTTTCCCTGGATTATGTCAGCTTCCCTTGCTCCTTTCTAAGGCAGAATGAGACAGCAGCAGTCTCAGAGCACTTCGGTGAGACATCGTGGGTCAGGGGCCTGTGTGCTGCGAGCAAAGCCAACTCCAAAGAGATGGCTCCTATCCCTATGTCTGTACAATACCATGCACTTAGTAACCATTTCTGGGGAGAAAAATGTTCTCATGGACAAAACCACTGTGGGACAGGTCCAAAGGTCCAGCGTGGCAGGTCACTGTGGGCTCTAGGAGTGAAAGTGTCTGTGCATCCCTGTGTTGTCATCAGCAGAAGGGGAAGGTCCGAGGGCAGCTCTCCCTGTGCCAACTGAGGTGTTTGTACAGCTGTTGAATACAGGGATGTGTTCAGTGGGGGAAGAGAAATGCAGAGAGCCACACTGTTCTCCAAAATTATTGTTCTTCCAAACCCTCTCAGGAGAGCTAACTCAAGTGGATTTGTAAATGATTACAAGATGCCACCAGCTTCAAAATAGCTCAAGGGTTTGCTCAGAGTTTGAAGCTGTCAAGTGTATTTCCTTTCCTGAGTTGTTTTTTTTTTCTATAAAATAACAAACCGTTTCTCTTCTTGCACTGTTGTTTGATTTCAGTTTGCTCTCTGGCTTCTGAGGAGCTGGTAACCCACAGCAGTTTTCAGAGTTAGTGCTGATGAGTATCAGCAGTGTTGATGGTGAGGTGGATGCTTAGGCTGGGCTGTCTTGGTCAGTGCAGGAACCCTCAAGCACCTGCTTGCTTTTGAAGCTCTCTACACTATTAAGACTCAAAAAAAAAAAAAAAAGAGGAAGAAAGGAAAAAGGTTTGAAATTATTTGTATTTTGATTTTTTAAAATATTATTTGGTGCTTGTTCTTATTGCAAGCAGGGCTTGCAGAAGTATATATCTTTCTGTTTATTTGAAAGAGTTCTTTTTTTTAAAAGGAGTTTACTTGGTTTTATTTTTTTATTTCATTTTGCTTTTGTTTGGGGGATGGTTTGGGTTTTTTCTCTTTCCTCCCCCTTTTTTTTCTTTTTCTTTTTGTTTGTTTGTTTGGGTTTTTTTGTTTTGTTTTCTTACCAAAAGATTGGTAAACCAAATATTCTTATCTCCCTGGTTCCTACAAAACCAGGGTTTGGGCAGTGCTGCTTTGCAGCTCATGCCATGCCCAGAGTTACACAATTTCAACTGAGAGCTTTCTTTAAGGCGGAGCATCTTTGGGCCAAAAAAAGTTCAGAAAAAAATGCAGTGACTTCAGACAAGGCTTCTCCTATCAGTTAGTTTCCTTGTTTAAATGTTTTGGTTGGGTTTTCTCATACCTTTTGGAGGCAAAGAAAAAAGCAAAGCATGGAGTGCCTTGCAGTGATCTGAGGGTCTGGTCACTTCTCTGGGGAGATGGAAGGAGCTCCTCTCCTGAACCCCAGGGAAGCTGAAGGAGGAATGTGCTGGTGGTGTGGTGTTACCTTTTCATAATAAACCCACCAATTTCAGAAAATAGCTTCTGCTCTATTATTTATACATCTACAAACATGAATATGCCAAGCTGAAATTTTTGGAAACCAAAGCAGTGCATGGCTCATTTGCTGTTGTGTGAACAGCCATCAGGGCCCCAGTTTGCCTGAGAGTTCCCCTCAGTCTGGAACAGCTTTTGCCACTATGAGCTTTTCATTTTATCCCACTGTCTTTTCCCCAGTCCCAACACATCTTGGATTCACAATACAGGAATGTCCCATGGCTCTGAGAAAGGCATCAAAAGGCAGATGTGTGACCCAGGGCAGCAGGGCTGAGCCTCTGCCTGGCTTCACCATCTCTCCTGACCTGTGCAAATCAAAAAGAGCATTCAGTGCCCCAAGTGAAAATAATATTTGCTAAGTGATCTCCAGAGGTCCCTGTGGTTCCTTGACAGAAGCCACAGGTGTGAGTCAGAAATACACTGACCAGAAATCATGTATATCAAAGCTGTTTGTGTCTTAAACTCTGGTGGACAGACCTTTGTCCCTGGAGGATGTCTGTTACAGTATGATTCACTTTTTTGGAATGGAGCCTCTCCTCCCACACTGCTTCCTTCTTCTTTCACCTTTAGGAAGGTAAGGGCTTGTTTTTATCTCTTCAGCCTTTTATTTTTCCTCTCTCAGGTTTTCTTTGGAAAGGCTTGGCATAAGTTCCCAGAGTCAGATTCCCGCTCTGATCCTTGCAGGTTGCCTTGGGTTGTCTGCTGGAGTATGGTCCCAGCTTTAGAGCACCAAAGCCTTTCCTCTTCCTGGCCTTAAAATTGCATTTGCTCCAGTTCCACACCTGGCATCCATCCTGAAGTTGTTGAAAGCTTGTTATTTCTTCAGCCCAGCCTGGTGCTGTGTCTGGTTCCCAGAGCCAGTCCCTTGATCCCATTTGGAACACCCAAACCACCTTGTTTTGTATTGGCTTCCTGGGACACAGAGCAGGTTCAAAAATGTCTGTGCAAAGCCCATGTTGTTGGAGGGAGAAGAGGAAACCCTGTTTGTGCCAGTGTTTCATGGAGGGCAGAAATCAGATTTGCTTTTCCTAGGCTTTTCTTGGCCTGGTCTTTGCCACTGCCAAACAGGAGGGATTTCAGTGTCCAGAGAAAGTGGGATTGTGGGCTCAGATGAAGTACAGAAGTGGTCAGTTTTAGCTGGGGGTGTCAGAATACCCCAGTGATAGATAGTAGCTGTAGCAAAGGGTGTGAGGAGACTTACTGGAGTTGTGTGGGGTTGACCTGAGCTGCTTTTAAATTAAGTGATCATCTCAACATGTAACTTGATGTCAGTTTGATGCCATAAAGCACTTTAAATGGAACTGGTCTTGTCCCTTTTTGTTTTGGTTACCTGGAAACAATCAGTTTTGCCATTGCTCCTCCCTCTGTGTCTCCAGCAAAATCTGAACTGCAAGTAGGCGTATTCCTGGTTTGGTTTGGCTTTACCCTGAGAGGGGAGGAAGGGCCAAGTTTCTGGTATCATTTTTAGACCAAAGTGGGTATCAATCTGACTACAGTCCCACTGCAGATGGGTTGAATGGCAGGACAAGAGAACTGGCTTCTTTTGGCTCAGGTGTATCCCATGGGAAAGCCCATGCCAGCTTCACCATCACCTTCCTCACAGCAGGTAGGGAAGCAGTTCCACCAGTGGTTTGCCCTCTGTCTCCTTTTCCCTGGAGAAGCTCAGAGCAAAGGAGATGTCGGGGGGATACATCCAAATAAGTGAAGTGAGGCCCTTTCCATGCACCAAGTTATTTACTGTCCAGGCTTCTGGGAGACCTCTCAGGTGCCATCCCCAGGGCAGGAGCTCTCACCAGTGCTGAGGGTGGACTCCTTCCTCCTGAGGTGTGACCGCTGCTGGGAAGCACAGTAATGCCATGAACTTGTGTGGATTTGTATTGCCCTTCAAACCAAGAGCATCCATAGAGTCCAATCATCTTTGCACCTTCCTTGAGTTACTTGATCTCGCAGCTGTTGCTGAAACACTCAGTTCCAGTCCTTCCAAATGCCACCAAGTCAGAAGCGGTTCTTCAGGTGCCAAATTCCAAGGAAGCTGTCTGGGATATCTGTGGCACAGAGCAAAGGAGGACTGGGCAGGGGGCACAGGAGTCTATCTGCTAAAATCCCACAAAACATTCCTTGTTAAACAGAACTCTGGAAATTATTCTGCCTGCTGGCCAGGTTTGGGAATTTATCATAATTTAGGGCACCCTTACAAATAAAAATCACCCCTGCTGTGCATAACTCCTATTTCTTTTGTCAGAAGGGGCAGCAATCCATGACTCTTCATCTGGTGATGCAGCTAATTTTTAAAATAGGCGAGCTGAACTGGCTAAATCTCCACACCTTGTGCTCCTCAGTGATGGGAAGTGTAATGCTAGCTCCCTTCCCACCTGCATTTCCAGGGCTCCGTGCCCTTCCTTCCACATGCATTGCACTGACACTGATGCTTTGCCCAAATATATTCAGCTTCCATTGCTTGGGGGGAGGGGGAACAGGATAACATTCACTGCTTTGCATACAGCTATGAGCTTTGTATGTATTTAAGCTGTCTATAGATATCCATCCTTTCCGTGCTCTGAAGTATTTTTACTATTTTCTCTATTGATATTAAACACTGACTCAAAAATAAAATAAAAAATAAAAAATCTTATGTCCAGTTCGGTTCGCCTATGGTTAAAGTTTAGCCTGGTGTTTATTTTGTACTAATATGGAATGCACTTGGAGGAATTCCCAGAACATTGAGGTGTATTATAATAACCTGATATACCTCTGCTTTTGGTTTGTTTCTTATTAAAAAAAAAAAAAAAAAAAAAGAAGCTTTGCATTTTCATGTTGAACCCATAAAAAAAAAAAAAGTTGAGAAATAAGATTTTTAAAGAGGGTAAAACCTAATTTTGTTGTATGTTAATTTGTAATTATGTAAAAAGTGAGCAAGTTGTTGACTGTAAAATTCATTTTTTTCTGTAAGTTACCGGAAACCATTAGGTTTTGTAACAAGCTTTTATTTATCTTCCTTTTTAGCTATCAGCATCAACATCTTGTGAAGTCATTCTTTCTCTAAATAAATTTGATTTCGAGTCTGAGTTTTCTGCCTGATGTATTCCCACACCTTTGGTATTTCTGCTGTTGACTTTGTTGCACCAAGTCTGAATGAACAGCCTTAACCTTAACCTGTGATCAAATGTTTGCATTGTCTTTATCATCTCCACTCTGGTCTGCATCCACCGGACTCTTTAAGTTATTTTCCTCCTCTTAGCAAGATTTGCATTTTGCTGAAGGACAGATGGCCACAATGGTATTCAGCTCCTTGGGTTCCCCCCCGCCACATACAGGGCTTTTCATCCTTTTAGAAGAGGAGGAAGTGTCACAGCTGTTCTCTCCACCACTTCAGCCCTGGGAGAGGAGATAAATGGGAGTCTGGGGGCTGCATGTGCTGGTTTATGGCACAGAGTTTCTGTAACCCCCTAACATAGCTCAGTGTCTCTGGCAGATCCTAGACACCGGGGGTTTAGCTCATTTGGCTGAGAACTAGAGATGCTATGTGTCCTCACAGGACAGGATCCGTGATGCAGTGTGTGCTTTGTGTGTTTCCACATCCCCTGCAAGAAGAGACCCAGCAGAAATGCTGTAGCCAGTGTCCAGGTAGTTCCTCTGCCCTGGGGAGGTGATGTTAGGAAAGAATTCTTTACTGTGAGGGTGGTGAGGCACTGGAACAGGTTTTCCAGAGCAGCTGTGGATGCCCCGTCCGTGGCAGTGTTCAAGGCCAGGTTGGATGGGGCTCTGAGCAACCTCGTCCCTGCCCATGGTCAGGGAGGTTGGAACTGGATGGTCTTCAAGGTCCCTTCCAACCCAAACCATTCTGTGATTCTGTGGTAAGGTACACGGTGTTCCCAGTGCCCACAGGCATCAGTCCAGGCAGGAGAGGGTGCCAGAAGTACAGAGCCAAAGCAGGGTTTGCTCTGCAGCATGACGAGAAGTCACAGAGGACCACGATGGCTGGAGTTTCCCCACCACTGATTTCTTTTACCTGTAGAAGTGATCACAGATGCCCATGTACCACTAATCCTGCGCAAGACTCCAGCTTCCTCTCCCCAGGCAGAAGGAGCAAGAGACCTGCACCCTTCATTCTCTGTGTATTGATTTTGAGTCAGAGGAATTGCTGAGTTTCCATTTGTTTATTCACTTCTGTTCAGAGGTGGGATCAGGAAGGAGAGAGGATGCTTGAGGAAAATCGGATGTGGGACACTTCCCTGGAAGTGTTCAAGGCCAGGCTGGATGGTGCTTTGAGCAAACTGGCCTAGTGGAAAGTGTGGAAGGGGCTTGGAACAAGATGATCTTTAAGTTCCCTTCCAACCCAAAGCGTTCTGTGAATTCTATGTATTGATCAAAGCCTTCAGGCCATCGACATGAACTCTGCTTGGGGTGCTGGGTTGTTCCCTAGCAGGCATTAGGGAATGCCAACCCACCTCCCGTTCCTGTTAGCCTGCAGGGCACTGTGTGTTATTTTCCCCCTCCTCTCAGCTGTGTTACACGTGCTGTTCTGAAAACCTGAGTCCTGTCAATGTACCCAAACCTACGCCCTGTCACGCAGCACTTGCTCTGAGACAAGCAGCTCCTGGGCGTGAGACAGGAGATGAAAGAGCTCATTTATCTCGACGGCTGCTCAGTAGTCCTGGTTTTATTTGCATTCCCATGCGTCCCAGCTCACCTATTTACTGAAACTAATAAAAGCTTTTGCCAAACCATCCTCTCCTGGGTATGGCTTTTAAAGAGCACGTTTTCCTGTGGCCCCTCTTGGCTCTGCAACTTGGATGCATGACAAAAGCACCTCTTGGGGCACCCCCAGCCTTTGTATCCCTGCAGTAAAACAACAGCAGCGGCTGCTGCAGTTGCTCGAGTGTGAGATGCTCCTGCAGTACAACAGGCATTGGTGACGGGAGGAGGGAGAGCACATTTACTGATGACAAATCATATGGAGAAAATCAAATCGTTGCTGAATCAAGCTCCTGCCATGGAAAGGCCACGGTACAGGGCAAATCAGGCACTGTGAGCTTCTCTGGTCCTGCCCAACACACACCAAACCCCTCTATTTCCATCAGCCAAGGGGAAGCCTGGGCAGGGAATAAAAAATGCCTTTCTCAGAGGAGGAAGCAAAGGGCCCTACTGCTCTGGGCCATCTCCATTTGGCAATTTGACTATCCTAAACCAGCTTTTCACAGTTTCATCTGCTGTCCATACTCTGAGCCATTACATCATGGCTAAGATGATGAAATGGATATTCTCCCTAGATCATGTCAGTTAATTATTTTTGATGATCCCCAAGCAAGAAGTGTTTCTGAGCATCCCAGGCTTCTTGCCCAGCCTCGGCCTTTTCTTAGCATCCCATGTTAGAACAAAAGATCTCTGTGGGTTTGTCTGGATGTGTTTGGATTTTCACTGGCCCAATCACCTAAAAGGGGTCACACAGAATCCTTAGGCTGGGATGGGCCTCTAAAAGGAGCATTGACAGACAGAGGAGAGGCTCCTTGGAAACATGGTTTACTGATACCTTTAACGTTTGTGTTATCTTGTGTTTTCCTTTCCCTGCCCTTGCTGGGTTCAGTTCTGGCACTGGCTTTAGGGAGAGAAACTGGAGGTCTGGAAGGACACAGGTGCAAGCTGGGCTGGGGCTTGCAGACAGGCCACCCATTCATGGAGGTTTTATTAAAAGGAAAGGCAAAACCCTAATTATTGCAATGAGTGAGTGAGATGCCTTGTGATCAGATACAAGGTGAGTGGTAAAGGAATGACTTAGCTTTGCCATTAAAGGCACCTGGGATTTGTTAAATTAGTTACTGGAATGTTAAACATAGCAAATGTGTTGATTTTTAGGAGGTTGGACCGTGTTAAAATTAAGTGGAAAATAATATTTGACACTAGCAACTAAGAGCCTGTACAAGTGAGCTCCCCCAGCCCTCACAGGGACAGACAGACACAGTGGTTGTACTTTTTGTCCTCCCTAAAGCTGTCTTCACACCTCTTGAAACACCCCCAAACAAGGCTTTGCTCCAGAGCCTGTTCTCCTGCCTCTGCCCCAAGGAGGCCCAGGGGAGGATGGGGCAGGTTCAGGACTGGGTCCCTCTGCCCTGCTCTCCCTGCATCCCAGGGCTCCTCTTTATGTTGATAACTTGTTCATGGGGCTATAAATGGCAGACCTTGCTCTTGGATGAAGGACATCCTGGCACCTCAGCAGGATGGAGCCGAGGTTTGTTTCCTGCTTCCCAACACGGCAGGGCTGAAACCCAGGAGGGTCCCTGGAAGGAACTTGTGTAAGTCCCTTTGCTCTCTTTCCTTTATGGTCCATCCCTCGCACAGCTGCAGCTCAGCTGGCAATTCCCAGTCCCCCCTGACCTCCCGCCTCAGCCTGGCGTCTCTCCCTCCGGCACTCGGCGTCTCCAGATGCTCTTTCTTTCCCCTTTCCTTTCACCAAAGGGCTGTTTCTCACCAGCCGCATCTTTCCAGTGAGCCTAATTAGACAGGAGCCTAATTAGAACTGAGCAGGAGTGGTGAGTCATTAGCAGAGCCCTGTGGGAAGCCCAGGAGCAGCCGCGAGCCTGGCGGGGCGGCAGCGTGGGCAGAGGGGCCGGGAGGCAGCGGGTGCTCGGCTGGGTGCCGGGAAGTGGGAAGCGGCTCCTGTTTGTGTGTGCGTGTGTAATTCCTCCAGACAGTGACCCAGAAATGGAGTGGTGGGTGTTCACCCGCCTCCCTGCACCTGCTGGGAAGCCAACTGAGTCCCAGTGCTGCTGGGCTGGCCTCAGGGCAGGAGATGGTTGTCCATCCCACCCAGCCAGGGACCTTAGAAGCCAAAAGGGCTTCTCCTGGTGGGCCTTAAGCCTTTTCCACCTTGTCTTGTTTCTACTCATCTCCTTTAATAACCAGTTATTCCTCCACAGTGGAACAGAGCCAGCAGCCTGGGGACTGGCTGCCTGCTGGGGCTGTAGGGAGAAGGATCCCTGCTGGGGTGGAAAAGGAGAATGAGGGGAGCAGCAAAGGGCAGTTTGCAATGTTTGCTCTGGACGGACCCACAGGACTGGTTGTGATGCCAGAACTGAGAGACAGGTCTTTCTATCAGTCATTAAATCACATTCTGGCTGAAAGTGCCAGCAGTTTCTTCACAAGCACAAGTTGTACCACCTTGGCCTGATCCAGGACAATTCCCTCTGGAATTCAGCGGGGAAGGGAGGGCTTCCCAAGAAAGCCAGAACTGGAAATCCACAAATTACTTGATTCCTGAGCTACGTGGTCCACAGAGATTGCCAGGAAGAATGAAAGGGCACATTGGGTAGCCAGGATCAGTCCTCTGGAGCCCTTCCCCCACCTTCATTTGGCGGGGGGCACGAAACACAGAGGGGTCCTTGTCTGCGATGCCTGCGAGACGTGGACATCAGTGGTGCCGCGTGTGCTGGGGAAGCGGGAAGTGAGATGTCCAGGCACTGACAGCATGAAAAGCCAGGCTTTTTCCACCTAATTGGATCTGTTATTCAGCTGAGAAACGCTGAATGGCTTGGGTGGGCTCTGAGCTCGCAATTTCAGTGAGGAAGTCGGGACGTGGTGGTAAAGTAGGTCACGCTGCTGCAAACAGGGTGAGGGTTCTGCACAACGGCTGAGGATGTTAAATAAGGAGGTGGTGAAATGGAAAGAAAAGGGAGGTTGTGAGGAAGGGAGAATAAATGAGCTCAGTCCTGGCTATTCACTCCCACTCGGAGTCCCTGCTGCTGGCTCCCACCTTGGGCCCCCAGCACTGCTGCTTGTGCCCAGAGGGCACAGGGCTCCTGCTCTGCACTGGAGCAAGAGGGACTGGTGCCAGTTTAAACTTCCAGTTGGTTATGGGGAGCTAGGGGCAATAGTTTCTCCTGCTCTTGGAAGCTTAACTCAAACACTACCTACTGAGCAGCGTTTTGATGCATGGCATTTTGTGAGCCTGGACCCTCTTCAGAGACTAAAATGTGCTGGGTTTTCCCCAAGGGAAAAGGTGCATGGGAAAGTAGGAAAACAATTTGACAGGGGGATATATTGCAGGGAGAATGTGCAATGCTGGGGCACTAATTAATGTGCAGAAGATGACAAACCAAGGACACGAGGCTTCAGTGCTCTGTATAGACATGGATGAATTTGAAAGCACGTCGGATGGCTGGAAAAAAAACACTCCTCCACTCCAATTATGTGTTTAAATGCCAGAGTTGGCCTCTGGATGGACGTGGGGCTTCCTCAGACACCGAAGCTATTAAATCACCAGCTACTCTGCTTTTAATTGACTCTCATGACAAAGGGAGAGCAGGCTCAGAAGATAATTCCCTGCAGGGCTTCACTGCACAACAGTATTATTTCAAGGGCAGCTGGGGTCAGGCTGGGAAAATGCATATTTAAAAACCAATAAGGCACTATGAGATTTATTTAAAGAAGACATAGAAGTATCGGCCTTTTGCGACTGGGGAGGTTCACCATGGTCAGTCCCTTGGGATGAAAGTCCCCAGGCCTGGGCTCAGGAAATGTCTGATCCTGCCAGCTGCCCGCTCAGCTCCATCTCTGAGCATCTCCCTGTCCTCTCCTCCCAAGTGCTTTCTGGAGAGTGAGAAGCACCCTGTTACATAGCTGGGGAACAGAGTAGGAGAGAGCCCATGGGCAGGCTTCAGACAAGGCCAGAGGGTGGGCAGAGTGGAGCTGTGTCCTGCCCAAGCTCTCCCATGGGACTGGGCCCAGCAAAACAAGGGAGGCGTGGGACAAGCCCCCCTGTCCCTCCAGGGGATCACCATGCCAGGTTCCTGGCACCTCATGGGGAAGATGTCTGAGCTTCTGACACCCTGCAGAGAGGGCTGGCTATAGCCTGTGGGCATGTTTCCCAGGAGCCTGGGAATACACAATCCCTGTAACACCACCAGACAGGACTCTTTCCCAAGTGCTCGCTCCCAGACAAAGCTGTGCCTGACCTGCTGAGATGGTGAAAAAGCCCTTTTAAAAAAGGAAAACAAATCAGGTTTACATTTCTACCTCAGTACCTCCCTTTTAAACCCCAGCCCCGTTCTGGTTGTAGCTTTATTCTGACTGTTACATACATTTCCATCTCCTGCTCCCCTTTTACTCTGTTGCTGCTAACCAAGAAACCTTTGTATTTCTCATTGCATTTAATTCCATAGCAACAGGTCGCTGCTGTCACAGCAGCTGCTGATGGCTTTTGAATTGTCTTTCAGGAAAGCTCCAGAATAAATACAAAAGAGCAGGTCTCTGCATGGCTCATATCAAAGCAAGCCCATTGCAAAGCCTCCCCAGCTGCTATTTAAAGTCCCATAGTCACATATAAAACCTGAATCAACAAAACTATAGACGATTTCATTCACACACCCCTTCTCTTTTTCCCCCCTCCTGCTCATCAAACAGTAATTTCTACCCTGAATTGGTTTCCCAAAGGGTTCTTTAATGAGCTTTTTCTATGGAGCCTTATACTTGTATCTGCTCAGCTCATGTCAGCTAATGCTGCTGCCTACCCAGCTCCTGCAGGCAGGGGGGCATGTTCCCTGTGTCCTTTACAGCTCCAAAATTTAGGCTTTAAACTCCTTTGTGCGTAACATCCACAGGAAGTTTCACTTCCCAAACCCAATCGTCCCCTGCTATAAGAGGAGGCAAATGCGAGTTTGCCTGGTGCCTGTTCCCTGCTCTGAGTGATGCTCCCATGGTCCCAGACCTGAGCAGGGGCCTGAGTTCCCAGAGCAGGGCTGGATCAGTCCCCTGCTCCTCTGGGATGGGGAGATGTGTACACAGTGGAGAAGCGTGGACAGGGGCCCAGTTGGAAAGCTCCGTCTCTCCTGTCAATGGGCCCCTTTCTTGGGAGCTGCAGGAGCCAAGCAAAGGCAAATAAGGAAAACAGAAGTATGAATTCTTCATCTTCCTTAGAAATTACTGCCTTTCCCTGCAGGAGTATGGCTGTGTCTTTGTTGGGGCCCTCAACCTACTTGGCAGGTATTATAACCATTGCAGACTTGCAAGTTCTCCTAAAATCATGACACGGATAAGCTGGGCAAAAGCATTCATGGAGCACGAGACATGTGATGTCCTCAGGACACGAGAAGTCCTGGACTTTATTCCCAGATCTACCACTAACCTTGGACAAGACAACTGACATTGTGCCTCAGTTTCCCAAGCGCTGAAGCAATAATAATTACAGCCAGGCTGGTTGCTTCGGAGGCTGTTTGTGAACCGCCCCACCAAGTGCCAACCCTGTTATTAGTCCCCGGCCCTGTTATTAGACCTAAATCCAACTTACTTAGGAATGAAGACTCCTGTGAAAAACACACAGACGGTTTCCCAGATCATCATTTTTATTAAAGTTCACAAGCAGCTGAAGGGAAGGGGGGAAAAAAAAAAAAAAAAAGACTAGAAAATGTAAATAAACGTCATTCAGCGCGTCGCAGACTGGCTGTGCAAAACGTGTGTTCTCCCCGGCAGCAACGGCCGCCCGCTGCTCCGAAAAGACCTTTGCTTGTTTGAAGCCGTGTCAAGGCTTTTCAGAGCGTTGCATCATTCAGCTGGCCAGGCTACAGCTCAGCCTAATCCAGGGGGCAAAAGGCAAGCCTGGAGCCTCTGTAGATCTGCTGTGCAGGGCAGTGGGATGCTGGCTTGGTGTAGAACCAGGTCCTTGGTGGTGGCCAGCCCTAAAGAGGCCAGTAAGGAGCTGCATCCCTGTCTTGACATGCCAAATCCATGCGCCCTCCTTCACAGCATGAGTGAGGAGCAACTCAGGCTGACAGCTCTTGGATGCATAATCCCAAACACAGTCCACAGCCAGCATGTGTGGATAACCTGGAGCAGCCTCAGCCCAACCACTGGCAGGCATCGTGCAGTCAGAAACACTCACATCTCTGCAAAGTGAAGCCAGGATGTGGGGTACCATGGGAAGAAGGGGGATCCCTCCCCTGCCCACTCTGCCATGCTCCCCTAATCCACTTGCTCTCCCTCTGAGGCCTTGCTGGTGGCAAGATGCCCCCCTCCCAAGGCACGAGCTGCACCCCTGTTTCTGCTCCTGTGCTAATTACACCCTCACCCACGCGGAGGGAAGCTCAGCAGACCGGCTCTGAGCACACAGTGGGCTTTATCTGGTGAATATCTGAGCAGCGGTGCCGGTGCCTTGGCACACTAACAGAGCTGCTGTGCTCTCCCCAGCAGCTGTGTGTGGGGAGCTACTCGGCCTCCAACCAAATCACAACCGGCTGCAGTGAGGAAAGGCGGGGAGCGGGGGGGAAATTTAAAAGGCCCAAAGTGCAAAACAAAAGGCACCTGCCCTGTTTCACCGCAGTACCTGGTGCTGCTGGCAGCTGCCCCAAGCTCCCACGCTTTAATGTTTCAACAGCCATCGCCTCCATCGAGCGGCCAGAGGATGGGGAGGGCCAGGTGCTCTCACCCCTGTTCCCCTTAACAAACACTTCCAAGTCACCCAAGCAGCGAACACTGCCAACAGCAAGTTTGCTGCCTTTAAAAAAAAATTAATATCTCCTAAACCCCAAACTGAGTAATAAAAAGCACATAAAGGCTGCCCAGCAGTGCTTGCTGAGGGATGCAGCCTCCATCTCTCTGGTGCTGTTGGCCCACTGGTGCCCACGAGCCATCCCTGTGCCCCTCATGCCCAGCTCCTGCCTTGCAGCCAGTGCTCCTGGCTCTGTGCCATCCCTGCATGATGGCCAGTGGCGGGGCTGAGTGGCCCTTGGCGGTCCCGTGATGTGATGCCAGCGTAGGGTCTGGCTGTGCCTCCCACTCCTGGTGCCAGGAAGGGACGTGAAAGTTGCCTCGGAGTCCTGTGTGGGACAACAGGAGGGGACTCAGTCACAGTGTTGTCGGCTCCAACTGCAAGAGAGGGGACCTGGATGTGACTCTGGCATCTGGGGAAGGAAAGAGAAAGCTCATTAACCGGTGAGATGCTTGGCTCAGCCCACACAGAGGAGCACTGGCAGTTACTCGGGTAACCCTCCCTCCCGAATCCCAGAAATGGGTGGAGGTAGAAAGCAGCTGGCTTGTTTGGGAGTTGGAGTGTGCTCTGATTGAGCATGACAGGGGGGAGAGAGGGTGTTCAGCTGGGGAGGGCTCAGAAATGCGCAGGGAACTTCTGTGGACATGACAAGGGAATGAAAAATTGAGAAAAAAAAGAAGTTTTTGCCTTTTTTTTTTTTTTGGCAGGGACGAGGGCCCAAGAACTGGAACAGACAAAACAAAAAGACCCTTTTTCTCTTTTTCCACAGGTTCCTCCAAAAACATCCGTATCACTGACATTTCCAAGGGGTTGATTAATCCAGTCTGGGGCCTAGCTCAGACTGCATACGTTTCCATCTGCCCAGGGTTAGGAAAAGCCTGATTTTCATCGACTTTCCTCCCCAGGCCAGCCACTCCCTTCCAACGCTGCCTGATAAACTGGCTTCAGAGACAACCAGCCGCTTGGAAAGAGCAGCAGCGGCAAAAAAATCTGCAATCCCTGTTTATCCGGCCTTGCTATTATACACATGCAAATGGGTTTCCCAGGAGCCACTGAGAGAAACCAGCTGTGACTTTGTTCTGGCAACTCCAGCGAGGTTGCAACAGGTTGCAAGCAACCACCCCAGCAGCACGCAGGTGAGCGGCAGCGTTTAGGAGCCAGGGGATTATCCTGGGCATTTTTTAGGCTGCTGTTTGCAGGTACACAGGTTTAGGCATGGGAAGATGTCCTTCTGTGAGCAGGGCTCCGTGGATGGAGCTGAGAATGATGCATGGCAACAAAATCCTGGGATTGTTGCAAGGTGAAAGCTGACGGGGCGCTGCTGCACGTGAAAGGGAGCCACACCAGGCAGCACTGAATGTGTCTTTGCAATGGCTTGTTATCTAAGATGTAATATAATAATCAGGAAAAGCCACTGAACAGATTTGACACAGCGTGAGTGTGGTATCACAATACAGTTCAGGGCCTGACATGTGGCCTAAATCCTTGCAGCAGCTTTGGGACCAAAGTTCATTTTAGGCGCCAGAACACTCTTAAAAACTTTCAGCCTCAATCGCTCAGCACCCACCCAACAGTAGGTACCAGCTGCTGATGCCGCCCACAGCCCTCAGAGGAGCTAATCCCACCAAGTGGGAGCCACAAAGTGGGCTTTGAGCTTTCGGATGTGTCCCAGGAATAAGTGTCTGAGCAGTGCCCAGCCACCAGCCTCCCCTCCCTACAGCCTGGATCGTGAGGAGGATCCTGGAGGAGCTAAAAAGCGCCAGAATGGGAACCCCTGGGCAGGGGAACCCCTGGCTTCTCACTGTGATGGGGTTTGGCTCATCCCCTTTGTTTTGAGATGGGAATTCCAACACCTCCACCCCAGGGCAGCATTTGAGGCTCAGGAGGCAGCACAGAGGGATGCAGTGACTCCCCTTTCCAATTCACCTTCCCTGGCTGGACCATGCAATCTTAGGTGACCGTCCCGCTCCCATTTGTGACTCCGCCCCACGCCATGAAAATGAGAGCGTCACACAGGACAGACAGTTTGGAGAAACCACTTTTAATGTGGTGACAGGCAGCTTGGAGAACCTGTTCCTGGTGAAGCCCAAAGTCACCTCTGGGGAGGTGTAGAGTTGTCCCCATCAACTGTCACTGCACAGGACTGTGACAGACCACCCAGCATCCTCCTCCGGGCTCCTGGCCAGGCTGCGCTTGTCTTTGTAAACACAGAGAGTCTTTATTAGCCGAGCGCTCAGTATTTTATTTCCCTTTTGTAATGTTCTGCCTCCTCGCGGCTCCACCGCCACGGGTGGGAGGAGACCAGGCTTTCACGTTTCATGTTGCTAATCACGCTTGATCCCTGGAATTAACTGCAGGTAATAAGCGCTAAATTAATGTCACACAGCCTCCTTGGCAGGGCCGCTGGGACCTCTGCCCAAAGGTGCCCTGGCTCCAGCTGGGAAGGGCGAAGGCCATGCCCTCAAGGAAACACTTCCAGCTGATCAGCTTTATGCTTTAAATGAAAAGCAGGCTGGGCGGTTTATGATCAATGTTTGCCGAGGACAGATTATTCGGGTTTCAGGGACCAGTTCATAGGCAAGAGGTTGTTTTTTCCATGAGTACAAAGTACTGTTTCCTGCCATGTGACTGCCCAGGCCTTTTCCCTCCAGCCCAGCTTGCTCTGCTCTGAGGAATGGTTCCTCCTGAGCCTTCTCCATCTGAGGGAGTAACCCACAGGGTTAGTATTGCCAAAGCACACTTGGACACAGCCAGCCTGCCCTCTGGGTGTCCCTACTTGCAGAAGGATCCCATAGGGCCTATCCAGATGTTGCAGCAGAGACCTTCCATGGTGGGAGTTACAAGCCAAAAGATCCCTCAGCCAGATCTACAACAGGACAATGGTGTAGTCATAGGAACTTATAGCCAGTTATCCCAGTTCCTGAGCCCAGTTTTGACCCAAGTACAGCCAGGACAGCCAAGGCAAGTACATGGGACATGGGTGGTGCAGCACTGCAACACATGCACATTGGAGAGATTCACTCACCCATCCTGGCGCTTTATGTAAGGAGCTGTCACAGTGGCTGAGGCCACAACAATAAATAATTTAAAAAAAAAAAAAAATCCCTAAAACAAAAACCCTAAAGAAAAACCATGTGGAGAGACATTCTTTCTGGCAAGAGCTCGTGTATATTTTAAATACTTCTTTTAACCGAAGAGTGGAAGCGAAGCCAAAAAAGCACATAAAACCCTCACACAGTGACTTTTCACCAGTTTAATTTGCAGGTTGGTATATTACAGCTCCTAGTTTTCTTGTGCTGTTTCAGGCTCCACGTTACAGGGGGGAAACCTATCTATGCAACCCCCCCCAATCTATTTATTAGGTCTGAACAAACCACATACAGTATGGAGGAAAAAGGGCAGGAGAGGAAAATAACATCACTGTGACTTTGGAGACTTTTTTATTCAGTGACTGAAGAATCAACTCCCACCTCAAACTATTCCCTATCCTATTTCCAGGAGCACGGCTGGTGTCGAGCTTTAATATTCAGATGCATCTGCTACCAGAGAAAATTAATTTTCAGCTCTAGGATGGCTCTTAAAGAGAGGCCCCATTGACCTGAGCTGAAAATGATGGAGTCCTCACACTCTTTGGTGCAATATTTAATAGCCAAGTGGCAGTTAATTAGATTACTGAGCCACTGTGACAGATGCTAGGCAACGCCTGAGGAGGAGAATTTGGAAAGGTCATTATCTTTCAGTGTCGGGAACACTCTCAGATTTCATTTTAACCCTTTCCACTCTCGCCCTGCCCTCATGGTGGTCCAACCCATGTCAAAACCAGGTGTTTCACAAAGGCCAGAGCAATGCCCTGGGTGATTTTTTCCCACCTGAGAAAAGCAGGTGGCCACACTGGGCAAATAACAGCAGATGTGCCAGGAACTCCTCCTTGGTTCCCAGCTGGCATCAAAAGAAATGATCACTGGGAGGTGCCAGCAATTTCACCCGCTGGGTGATTCCCAGGCACGCCAACCACACCAAGTGGGAAGCAGGGAAGTGAGAGGGTGTTAAGAGGGTTTGGGCAGCATTCTTTCTTCCCTGTGTTAAGTGAAGTGGATTTTGATGAGTCTGTGGAAGAATTTCCCTCCCCACAGTCCCCACTTTCCAAATAAAACTGTAAGTGAAGCTTGTCGATCCCACATGCACACCCGCTCCTATAGCTGGCTGGGATGTAGGCTCCGACCACCAAAGCAGGGCTCTGTGTGTTGCTGGCTCTGTGAAACCTGCAGACAGAGCTAGATGAGGTGTTACAGACTTCCCGGTGAGATGATGCTATCCAGCTATTGCCCATATCATTACCTGCTTTTACAAGGCAAGGTGAGAAGAGTTTTTGGCCTTTGCCCAGCCAGCTGTATCTCAGCAGGTTGGTGAAGACATGCAAAGCTCTGTGGAGCTACACTGGGAACCAGAGTGGCAACCAAACATCCCACTGGGGAGGAGAGAGGACCAGCAGTCCTATCCTAGTGGCACTGCAGCAGCACCTTCCCTGAGCAAGCAAGAACTGGAGCACCAGAATGAGACAGGACATCATGAGATTCCACCAACTTTCTTATTCTCACATATCCCAAAACACTGATAAACACATTCTTCTTCTGGTTACAAAACCCCTTCCCTCCCACTCAGGTCTTACGCAGAAGTCTCAGAAGTTCTGATTTAACAAGCAACAGTTTGGATGATAAATAAACACTAGGACCATCAAATGCATCGTGGCTTCTGAGCTTTTGCTTCTGCTACCCACTGAAATGTAAATACAGAGTATAAAAAGAGATCCAGGATTTGCTGGCATTCCAAGGGTCACTTGCCTAAATATTCATCATTTCTGAATAAACCACCCAGAAAATCAGCAAAAATATTGAACTACTGAGACGTTTCCAAAGCACTTGTGGCCCTGGTATCTCCCAGGACTCACCTTCAAGTGTTTTTAGAAAGCTTAACTCCCTCAACTGCACAGGGACAGGATGTATTCCACAGTGAGAGCCGTGGCGTGTGAACACATCTGCCCTTCCCTCCCCACCCACCCACAGAAGGGTGACTCTGCCACATCCAGCTACCTTGGAGCAGAGGGAAAGGAGCCGTGGCCTGATTGCAACCATCGCTGTAGATGTATCTCTGAAGACGACAGGGACAATCAGCTGGAAATAAGAGAACCCTGGGAGCTAGCTAAGCTTACAGCACTGCAGGACTGGTTACTGCTTCCTGGCTCTGCATCAGACCTTTAAATGCTCCCTGCCCCTAAAACAACCTCATGAACAACCTGGAACCCATGACTCCGGCGCAGGGGGTGTAGCCGCAATTGAGGCAAGACAGCAAGTTTCAGTTTAAGAGGAGGAGACCCTTACCTTATTGACCTCCTGGATACAAGCCCCCGAGCCCTGCCCCTCATCATGATGGCAAGTGCTTCCAGGTGCTGACAAAAGCCGTGGGGATGAGCGAGTAAGGCACCGTCGTGATACAGTTCCACGTGTCTGACGTAGGGTCGTAGCAGTCCAGCGTTTTGCACCTCTGAGTGCCAAAGTAACCCCCCACCACGTAGAGTTTATTCCCCGAGGCCAAGGCGTGGCACGACATGCGCTTGGCCGTCATGTCCCCGATGCGTGTCCACTGGTCGGTCTCGCAGTCAAAGCGGTACGCGGACGCCGCCGTGAACTCCGTGTCCCCTCCCATGATGAAAATCTGGCTGCCCAGGACAGCGGCTGCCGTGTAGCGCCAGGGCTGCGGGCATTCGGCTTTGATCATCCATCGATTCTCAGCTGGGTCGTAACACTGGACTTTGGACACCATGTCCCGGTGAATGCTGGTCCCACCAAAGACGAAAAGCTTGAGCCTGGCACTCACCACCGCGGCGTTGCTCACTCCATCTCTCAGAGGAGCCACCATAGTCCATTTGTTGGATATGGGATCGTACTTCTCCACTTGCTTCAAGGAAACAGAAGGAGATGCAGGAAAGACTCCAGCCACTGCGGTGTGTCCACCAACCACATACAGGCAGTTTTCCAGTTCGGCCGAGCCGTGTCCAAACCGAGCGATTAACATCGGGGCAGCTTTGGACCATTCCTCGTGCACAGTGTCATACACCCACACGTCTTTGGAGACCCCGTTTTCTGAGCCTCTGCCTCCAGTGATATACACTTTGCAGCCAATGGCACAGGCACTAAACTCCTTCCGTGGACTCGGCAGGTCTGCTTTGGGGATAATTTCCTTTGCTTTGTGGTCTACCTGGTAAATCTTATCACACATGAAAGTCTGTCCTCCCAGGATCAGCAAGGTGTGCCCAGCTTTGCGAGGCCTGGCACAGGGACTGGTGACGACTCCATCATTCTGGAGGATCTTCTTCTTGCATTGAATAGCTTCATCCAAGACAAGCTTGTTCCTTTCATCCACCATGATCAAGTCCTCACAAGCCAAGGCTTCCTTGAGGCATTCAGAAGGAAGCAAAGCCAGACGAACATTCCTCAGAAGCTCTGGGAGATAAGCCTTCCGCTCATCCAGATCGTATTTCACCCACTGGATGACAGCCTTAAAGACTTTTTCCTCATCCTCAATTTCCAGCTCATCGCTGGAGATGAGGTCCAGCAAAGTGTCCTTGGAAAGGTTGTTGAAGTCCTCACTCTTGTGAACAGTCTCAAAGTTGACCAGGCACATCCTCCAGGAGAGCTCGTAGAGCCGTCGGCACTGATGAGCATCCGAGAGCAGCATCATGCCCAGGCAGTTGGAAGGGTAGAGGTTCTTCTCCAGGAACTCGGCCGCCGCATCTCGGACGTCATGGAACTGCAGCATGTCTCCAGCTTCCAGGAGGGACTCAGCGTTCTCCTCATTGATAATGATCCGAGAGGAGTAGGCAAAGTCCAGCAGCAGCTCCAGCACCTCTGGGTGGAGGCTGTCATGGAAGTTCACCTCATCATCCAGGCTCTCCCGGAGGCCGTTGCTAAACATGGCCTCGAAGTACCTGCTGGAGGCAGCCAGCACTGCCCGGTGGCACGGGAATGACCTGTTTCCTGCCCAAAGGGTGACATCGGTGAACATGCAGTGCTTCCGCAGGGTGTTCAGGTGGGACAGGACACAGTCCGGGTGGGAAGCTTTGTGAAAGAGCAAGATGTTCATGGAGCCGGTGCTAGTCCGGGATTTACGGTTCTCGTGGACGCTGACTGACATGATGGCAGAGCTCTTGCCTGCGGGAGAACAAACAGGAAGACCATTACTCCCTTGTCCTTACTGATGTATGGCATGGAGAACACGTGCATTTGCTATCCAACCCTGGTACACTGCCAAAGGACCTCAAATGAGAGGCACCAGCAGATGTCCCTGTGCTCCTGCACCCTGATTTGCTGAGCCCGTGCCTCCTGCACCCTCACATCCTCCAAAAAATTTAACTCAGGCTGAACAGGCTGGGAAGGCAGAGCAGGGTAAAGGGGGGAATTCTCCACTTTGGTTTCAGCAACAGAGCAACAAAGTGAAGCAATCAACCCCCAAACTTGGTGGTAGATTGTCTCAACAGCCCCTAGAGGGTATTGGCAAACCACAGAAGAGTTATTTTTCCTTAGAAAACAGCACCGAGAGAGCAGACTATCCAGGGTAAAGGGCATTGGTCTGTTTCTGGCTCAGCAGAAATCAAGTCTGGCTTCTGATTTTCATATAGATTGCTGCAGGTTTAGGAAAGGCAATTGCTAGACGTTTTATTTATGGAATATTTAACTACCAGCACAAGACAAAAGTTTTGAATAAATTTTACCAAAGCCATTCCTTTTAGCTTCTGATGATGAAACTCACTACACACTTCATATGATTTAAACATTTTGCAGGACAGATTCACATCAGAGCAAAACAAAAGAGACAGCCCAATTACGCCTTTTACCAGACAGGCAGAAGCAAACACAAGGCTTTTATTAGTTACTATTTCATTTAAGTGCTACTTGATACCGTTCTTTGCCTGCAGAAGAATGCTCCTTTGGAGTAATCAAATTAATACTACCTAGATGATAAAATGCAAGTAATTTACTCCAAAATATTTTAGCCAGCTGTATTTTGTTCCCTGTGTGACTAAAGCAGACAGACAGGTAAGCAAACAGCCCTCTCTTACAGGAGAAAGTCAATACTGAAGTTCATAGCACAACTGTCCCAAGGTTTGAAAAATGAATCCAAAAAAAAGAAAAAAAAGGGCTCATCCTGCTGTACCTCCACTCCAGCCACTGAAATGTTTAGAAATCAGCCATTAGCCAGACAGCTGGGGAAGGTTTTTCAGATGGGTTCTTTATGTTGATGTTGGTTGGATGTTTTTTGGGTTTTTTTAAGTTCCTCTTCATAACCTGAGGCTTCTCAAGGGCCTTTCTACCCTGCAAACACAAGGGCTGCAATTCAACCCTATCCTCCCCAGCCAGTCTGAGCTCTCCATCACCCCAGCCCAGTGTTGGGGGGTCTCAGGGGAAACCACGAAATGCTGGGAGCGTGGACTCAGCGCTCCCAGGCTGCCACAGGTCACAGCCATGACCTGGCGGTGACCTGGAGCTGCACAACCCTCCCACACTCCACAGGTGGATGACCTCAAGCAGAGGAGGATGGCCAGATAAACTGCCTGACTCAGGCTCTGCTCATGTGCTTCCTACCCCTGCTTCTCCAGCACCTCCAAGAGAGTCCAAATTAGACAAACAGTTGTGGGTATGTCGCTCCTTCCCCACCCACTGCCATGAATTATTGAGGTTGGTCTACCCAAGGCCTCACTCATTCCTTAGGGCTGTGTCATAGTCCAGGGAAAAATCTCTGTGCTCCTCCATGCAGAAATGACAGGTTGCCCAAGCAGCCACAATTCCTGCTCAGCCTCTGAGTCGTGGCAGGAGCATCGACGCAGGTAATTGGGTTGGATATGTACATGCCATCACGAAAATCCCTGCAGCCTGGGGTTGAGGCTGACAAGCTCATTTCACTCCTGATTGGAGGCTGTGCAGAATCAAGGCTCCAAAACAGGAAGCAAAATGCCATTATGGAATAGCACTTTGAAGAGCATCTGAAGGAAATGTTTCCAACATCTACACCCGGTGCAGGAACAACACTAATTTAGGAGGCTATATGGATTCCCATGTCAACGCCGAAGCGAGGAATACAAATGAAACATTTATGAGTCTGCTAAAAGCTATTGATTTAGGTTCCTATTCCTACAACCTCAGAAACCACTCTGCCATTGCCACTGCTTTCTTTGCTCACAGCTCAGGCCAGCTATTCAGTGTTACCCTTTGATTTGCTTATGCACAAAAAATGAAGCCATTTATATAGGACAGCTATGGAAACAAACACAAGGATTGCAGGGTGGCAGCAATGATTTTTCTGACACTAAGATTAAAAAATCACTACTCAGAACAGAAGGAGCAGGTCATTTAGAAATTAAAATGTCTATATAAAAGCCACAGCACAGCCATTTTATATATATATATATACACATACAGATACATATACTGTGCAGACACACACACACACACACACACATATATATATATATATATATATATAAAATCTCAGGCTTCTACCATCAAACATCTAGCCCAGGGAACTTGTTAGCAAACAATATGTCTATCTTACGTGTATTGACCAACATTCAGGGAATAAATTGGCAGGTTCCAGTTCAGTTCCCACCACTGCTCTTCATATCACCTTGTCCCACTACAAGCACCAACTGATCCCCAGTGCAGCTGGGTCACAGTCATAGCCCCTTGGCCTCTCCTAGAGCCAGGTTATGACACTAGTCACAGATGAGCAGGGCTAGACAGACCACTAAACTGAAACTAAAGCAGCCTCTGAACTCTGGGCTGCAGCCATCTCACCAGCAAGCCTTGCTTGTGGTTTTTCAGCAACTTCCAGACAGCTTTTTCTGAGGGCTTCTTGAATCCTGCCATAGTGGTACAAGCAAGAAAGTGGCAGGTACTAATCCTTCCCCTCACAAACACACCTCACCACATTTCTCAGTCTACCAGAGACCTTGGCACCATCTCACCCCTATTAGACAAACAGAAACTGCAGGCAGCACCTATTTCATCTGGTGGGTTTCTTCCAAAATCTAGCAGCTTGCAAACCTCAGAAGCCTGTAGGTAAATGATCTCCTACAATTTCGCAGTGCGCACAAAAGCGTGCTTCGATTTAAGCAATGTTTAACTGCGGTGATGAACAGGTTGGACCCATGACATGTGCACTTCTCTGAAGCAGACACATGCAGAGCAGAATTTGGCCCCTACCACATTCCTTGCTTCCCTTACTCAACTACTGAGCTAAAGAGAAAAAGCAGAGCCACTCAGAAGGAGGAATATTTTACTCAAAGCAACCTGTCAGTGGCTCCTGCCAAGCTCCCACCGGCTCTGCGAGCGCTCAGGGGTTATCGGAGCTCCCAGCTGCATCTTCCATCAGGCAGGAAGCTGTCGCTGGAACAGCTGTGTCAATGAGAATAGCAGAAGGCATGACCTGAACAAACTGGGGCTTGGATTTCTCCATGCTGCATTCATTTTTTTTTTTTTAACTTCGAAAGGCAGTTATTGAAAAAATAAATATCTACTGCATAACCTTTTAAAAGGATCTTAACTGCACGCAGAGGCAGATGATAATCCTTCTTCCATATGGATGAGGGCAGAGGGGCATCAGCTTTTTGACAGCTATCCAACGATGTCTGCTGGTTGTAGTATTCCCCTGGCTGTCTGTAGTCTTTGTACAGCCAGGATAGGAAAGACAGGTTTTTTCCAGCAGAGTAAGATAAGGATGCTTTGAAAATCCTTCCACTCACCCAGACAGACCAGACAGCAACCCTGAAGGAGGTAAGGAGTTGGCTCAGGGAGAAAAGACCCCTCAAATCTCAGTTCATGAAGGAAATACCCCAACAATCTCTCTGGACAGGACAAAGCTAAAAATGACAAGGGGCAAATCCAAAAGCACGGAACTGGCCAAAGTCCCACTCAAAGAAGCACAAGTCTCCTATCCAAGAGCCCCTTGCTTCCTCCAAACCATGCCCCAGCAGAAGGCTGCCCCTCTCAGGCTGGTGGGTCATCATGTCAGAGCCCTGCTGGAATGGGTCATTTAGAGAACTTTAGGAAACACTCTATCACCTCTTGAAAAATCCAAACACGTCTTAGATAGACACTTCGAAGCTGTATCAGGCCCTGTCCCCAGCCACAAAAGAACTGCACATGTGAGGACAGCTCAAAAGGACTACTGATATATGAACTATATTTAGCCAGGCTTGGGGCTTCCCCTCCATCTCAAACCGACAGCCTCTCTACAAATCTGCAAATTCATTCACTATCTGCAGGGAATTACCAGCTGAGATCCTGCTTCCTTCAAGAGGACATTTGAGAGTGAATATGCTCCCCAGTGGGACTTCAGGGGATCAAGAATAATTTCTGCTAAGAAGGGCAAAACTACAGGATTTATACGTGTTCTCCCAAGACTGTAAAGGTTGGCTAAGCACCAACAAAGAGCCCAAATCCCATGATCCCAAGCTGGGCGCTTTCTGTTTGCCAATCAGAGAAGCAGAAACCAGAACGCGTTTCTTTTTGCCCCACTCAACCATGAACTATTTAAAGCTGTAAATAAGTAAATAAATAAGCAGAGAGGTTCCCTGCTGGCTCAGCTCCGAGGACCTGGAAGAAGCTGCTCATGCTGCAGCCGAGATTCATTCCCAAGCAGTCAGACATATACAGGCCCTCCATGTATGGGCTGCACTACAGCCTAGAGCCGCTCCTTCCAAACCAGAGCAGACCCACCTTAAGCAGGCAGAGACAACAGGATTAAAATCCATTTTCATTTTCTCTCCATTTCACAATATCAACCCTGTGGGGTGAAACACCATCTTGAACTCAGCCAAAGTTCAACTCTATCCATTACAAATGCGCCTGCTCCCTCATCCCAAATATCTGGACTTTTCCAACCTGGTGCTTAGGCCAGCAGCGTTATCACAGGCCAAAATTACTGGTACAGAATCAACTTCCCCCTTTTTACTGTAGAGAGTAGCAAACTAGAAACATAAAGTCACCTACTGTGTTTTCTTCAGAGGGAAGAGCTCCTTGCAAAGCTGCTTAGGAGAAAGAGCAGTGAGAAAGCACACTGTCAAACACAGAGCCAGATACAGCTGTTTCAGATGTGATTTCCCAGCACTGGAGACCATCAAAAGGTTTGAGAAAGTGGATCTGCTACAT